GAATTTGATCAAGATCTGTTAAGCACTTTCTTCTTTAAGCTCTATTATATTATTAATCAGTTATAATAACACTCAATCATTTTTATATAATTTATTGAATCACTATAAATGACAAAATTACAAAATTATTCATGATTGAGTTCCAGGGGAACAATATCCAAGCACCCATTCCTTCACCAGTGTCTACCTCCGTCCACCAATGCTCCCGGTTTTCCTTGCACCCTGCCCACATACACACACACACACACACTGCCTGCCTCTCTGGCAGGCACTTTCCCCCCCCCCCCCCCTAACTATTGAATCATCTTTATATTTTTGGAATAAAACTTATTTGGTCACACTGCATTTTTTTCCCCACTGGCTACCAGATACTTTAATCAAATACTTGGGATTTTTCCACTGATGTCCATAAGTGAGATTGGCACATAGTGAGTGTGTGAATGTATGCACTGCTTTTTATTTGCATTCCAGTATAATAATAAAACAAACAAACAAACAAACAAATCTCAGAAATTCTTTATTAAAAACACTTTGGAAGACTTTCTTCCCCAACCCCAACCCCAATGTTCAGGCTGAAATTTTTGGAGTTGGCACATGACGTCAACTAACTTTCTCTTTTTTCCTTTCTTTCCTTATTTTTTTGGTGTTGGGGATAGAATTCAAAGCCTTTCCCTGGAGCTGTGGTGGTGTGATGGTTCCTGCTCAGAGGTGCTGAGGGCCACCGGGAACTCAAGCTATTCCTTAGTGTGTGTGTGTTGGGGGTGGGGGTGTACTTCGGTGGGCTGGGAGGGTGAGGGAAATAGGTGGAGCTGTGGAGTCAGGAGCTGAGCCTAGTAAGACACTTACCGTGCACATGGCCAACCCAGATTCCATTATCCACTCTCTACATGGTTCCCTGAACCCCTCCAGGAGTGACACCTAAGTAATGAGTCAGGAATATACCCTGAGTGCCACCAGGACTAACCCAAAAGAAGGGAAAAACAATTGAGCCTAAGAGTTAAAGATACTACAGTGCATAGGGCATTTGCCTTGCACAAAGCAGAGCTAGATTCCAGGACACTCACCATATATGGCCCCCTAAGCTCCACCAGGAGTGATCCCTGAGTGCAGAGTGCAGGGCTAGAAATAAACCTTGAACACAGTCAGGAATGCCCCACAAACAAACAAACAAAAGATTTTTTAAAAAAATTTTTATTAGTGAGACACCATGAGGTACAGTTGTAGACTTACAAATTTTTGTGCTTCGGTTTCAATTATACAATGATCAAATACCCATCCCTCCACCAGTGCCCATTTCCCACCACCATGGATCCCAGTATCCCTCCCACCCCCCATCCCCCCCATCTCACCCTGCCTCTGTGGCAGGGCATTCCCTTTTGTTCTCTCTCTCTTATTGGATGTTGTGGTTTGCAAAAGAGGCATTGATTGGCAGTCATGTTTGATCTATAGTCTACTTTCAGCATGCTTCTCCCATCCTGGGAGGATCCTCCCAACACACTTTATTTGGTGCTCCCTTCTCTATCTGAGCTCCCTTTTCCCCTAGCACGTGTGGCTGGCCTCCAAGCCATGGAGTAAAATTCCTGGTACTAATCTTGGCCTAGGGCTGGAGCGATAGCACAGCGGTAGGGCATTCGCCTTACAAGTGGCCAACATGGCCGACCCGAGTTCGATTCCTCCGCCCCTCTCGGAGAGCCCGGCAAGCTACCGAGAGTATTCGATATGCCAGACACAGTAACAACAAAGTCTCCAATGGAGACGTTACTGGGCCCGCTCGAGCAAATCGACGATCAACGGGAGGGCCTTTTAATCTTGGCCATTCTTGGGTGTTAGTCTCCCATTTTCAAACAAAAGAATTTAACCTGTTAGAGGGCCAAAGAGATAGGACAAAAGTTTAGGCACTTGACTTGTGGCCGATCTTCTGAGCCTCAGGTCTGATCTCTCAAGAACTGCCAGGTGTGATTCTTGTAGCATGTATGGGTATCACTGTCACTGTCTTCCTGTTGTTTATCGATTGCCTCGAACAGGCCCCAGTGACGTCTCCGTCCTAGCCCTGAGATTTTTAAAAGGGCCATATTCGAGGCTCTTTCAGGGTCAGGAGAATGAGACCCATCATTGTTACTGGTTTTTGGCATATTGAATATGCCACAGGGAGTTTGCCAGACTCTCCCGTGTGGGCAGGATATTTTTGGTAGCCTACCAGGTTCTCCAGAGTAAAAACTAGATGATAAGATGTCGCGCGGCCGCATTCGCAGTATGGCAAAAAAAAAAAAAAAAAAAGATTCAGGACCTCTCACATGCCAGGCCTGACATATCTCCACTCTTTTGAACCATTTCTAATGTTTTATATATACATAAAACATTAGAATATATGTTTATATATAACATTAGAATATATTTATATATAAGTGATCGTTGATGTCAAGAGAGGGGTGCGGCAGGGTGATACCATTTCACCGAAACTCTTCAGTGCCACCCTCGAGAACATCATGCGACGACTGGAATGGGAAGGAATGGGAGTGAAGATAGATGGTCGGCAATTACACCACCTCCGCTTTGCTGATGACATTGTTTTAATAACACCAAACATCAGCCAAGCGGCACAAATGCTGGCCGACTTTGACCGTGAGTGTGGAAAGGTAGGACTACAGCCGAATCTTACGAAGACAATGTTTATGAGAAACAGCCTTGTTCCTGACGCCCCATTCGCTCTCAATGGAACGACCATCTCTGAATGCAACAGCTATGTGTACCTAGGTCGAGAGGTCAACATGACAAATGACCTGGCACCCGAGCTGCGCAGGAGGAAGAGAGCGGCTTGGAATGCCTTCAAGAACGTCGAAGAAATAGCTAAGAGTCTGAAGAACCTCCTGCTCCGGGCACATCTCTTTGATTCCACTGTTCTTCCTGCATTAACATATGCCTCAGAGACCTGGGCCCTACACAAACAAGATGAGAACGCTATTCAGGTCTCCCAAAGAAGAATAGAAAGAGCTATGCTTGGAATATCACGTTTCACTCAAATGAGAGAAAGAATCCGGAGTTCTGACATTCGTCGACGATCAAGAATCAGGGACACTGTCTCATTTGCCAAGGTGTCAAAAATCAGATGGGCTGGTCACGTAATGAGATTTAAAGACGACCGCTGGACTAGAGCTGTTACCGACTGGATTCCACGGGATGTCAAAAGACCGCGTGGCCGCCCACCTACCAGATGGTCAGACTTCTTCGTCAAGATCATAAACGATCGGTTTGAGGCCCTTCATGTTCCCGGAGCGAACAGATGCCATTGGGCTACACTTGCACGCGACAGGGACAAATGGAGATGTTACTGGCACCCGCTCGAGAAAATCGACGACTAACAGGAAGTTAAGTGATTAAGTGATATTTATATAAAAAACATTTAAGGGGCTGGAGTAATAGCACAGCGGGTAGGGCGTTTGCCTGCACGCGGCCAACCTGAGTTCGATTCTCAGCACCCCATATGGTCCCCTGAGTATGGCCAGGAGTAATTCCTGAGTGCATGAACCAGGAATAACCCCTGTGCATTGCTGGGTGTGACCTAAAAAGCAAAACAAAAACAAAACAAAACAAAACATTTAAGCAATTAAGCTTGAAACCAAGGATGAATGGTCTATTCATCCCTAATTGCTTAAAGTTGATCAAGAAATAATAGTCTTTTACAGATCTGTTTTATCCCCCCATATCTCTGTCTTTTCTGCACGTTTTTCTCCTGGGTGCTGAGGGCTACCAGGGTCACACCCAGCAGTATTCCAGGGCCATAGAATGCCAAATGTACCAGGCTTTTAAAGCTCTGTGTACTTATTTTTTCTAACCCTTGAGTCAAATGATTAATTCACTTTCACTGAATTTTCCTATGCTGAATTTCACTGAATTTTCCTATTGTAACTATATCAAATAACTATATCAAATCTGTAAGTTTTGTTTACACCGTCTCTATTTTCTTGGTTTTCTGAAATTTCAATTTCCTTTTCCCCAACAGTTACAACTTCTTAAGAAAGGGGATAGTGGGAAAGAGGGTTCCCAATCAGTTGTGTCTTAGAGACCACTCCTGGATTACTAGAGGCAGAAGGTACTGGATTGAAACCCAGGTTTGCAAAACATAACACTTGAGCTGTCCCCTTGACCCAAGTGAAAAACTTTTTTTTTAAGCTCAGATAGTTTTCAATGAAAAAAATTGGGGAGAAGGGGTTTGTGTGGGAGCCTACACTCGACAGTACTGGGGCTTCCTCCTGGCTTTGCACTCAGAGATCACTCCTGGGGGTGCTTCGGAACTTTTATGGGCTGCTGGGGATCGAACTGGGGCATCTGAGCAAGGCAAGCACCTGACCGCTGTCATATGGCTGCGTCCCAGTTTTAAATTTTATAAATTTCAGACTGGCTAAATAGGATTTTCTCCCCTTCGTTTCTGAAAAACGGTGGAGAATTTTTAAAAAAATTTTTATTAGTGAGACAACCATAAGGTACAGTTGTAGACTTACAAATTTTTGTGCTTGGGTTTCAATTATACAATGATCAAATACCCAAGCCACCGGTGGAGAGAATTTTGCAGTCCACCAAGTGCCTGTGACTTTCTGTGACTCCAGCTCCGTCACTTGACCGGGTTTTCAAGGATCAAAGTCATCGGACGGGTTTCTTCTACCCGCCGCCGCCAGACCACAGAGCATCCCCGAGGCCAGGAGGAGGAGGAGGAGGACGGGAACTGGCCCAGGCCTACGAGCCGGGGGAGGCGGCGCGCCCAGCGGACCTCTCCCCGAGTCGGCGCGCAGTCCCGGGCGCCGCAGGGCCGCGGACCACACCCCCGCGGGCATCTTCCCGATTGGCCAATCGCCGCCGCTGCCGCACGGCTCTGCGATCTGATTGGCTCTGGCGGCGACGCCCCCACGGCTCCCCGGCTCGGCCTACGGTCGGGCGTGGACCTGGACGGTGGCCGCCGTAGGACACAAGAGGCCCGCTGGGATCGGCGAAGCCTCGGCGCGGGCTTTGGACTCCCGGAGCTGGGCGCGGGGGCTGCGGGGAGATGGCAGCGGCCTCTGCCGTCGCGGTGCTGCTGGTGGCGGCCGAGAGGAGCCGGTGGCAGCGCGTCCCGAGCCTGCTCTGGCCTCCGAGGTAGTGGCGGGTGCCGGGGGCGCGGGATTAGCAGCCGGGGGTGCGGGGTTGCGGGCGCGCGCGAGCGGCCCCCGGGGAAGATCGAGGTGGACGCGGAGCCGGGGTGGAGGGACTAGGTGGCGATGGGGGCGGGCGGGGAGGAAGGAAGGACCCCCCCCCCCCTCTTGGCCCTGGTGACCTTCCGGGACGGGGGCTCTGCTGCAGCTTCGGCCTTGGGAGGGAGACCCCTCCGCCTCGCGCCCTCCTCGTTCTGCTGCTCACCCTGCATCCCTCTTGCAGCGGGTGGGTTTTCTATTTATAAGGCGTGGGATGGGGGGGTAGGGCTGGTTCTCCCTACCGGTGCCGCCACTTTCCCCGCTTGGGGCAAGAATGAGACTCGCCTGCGTGTGTGTGTGTGGGGGGGGGGGGGTGCGTGAGGGGGGGACGGAGCACACCTGGACCTGCACATCTGGCTGCGCCCAGGAGTCCCTCCTGGCGGGACCGTCTGGGGTGCCAGGGATGGAACCAAGGGCGACCGCGTGCAGGGCAAGTGCCTGATCCGCTGGTCAATCTTTCCTGCCCTATATGCTTATTTAGTTCCAACTATTTGCATCTCACCCCCACCCTCTGCATTCCTGGTGTGGTGTGGGGTCGTTGCTATGACCCGGTTCTGCTGAAATCCCTATCAGTCCAGTTCTGGGGCCTGGGATGTGGTCTCGCAGTGGAGCAGTTGCCCTGGTTTCAAGCCCCAGTACCTCCCAAACAGAACATAAACAGCAAGTGAGTCCACTGCTAGCCCAAGGTGGTAAGAAAGGCCTTTGGGAGGCCTCTCCCTTCCAGTTTAGCCGTCTTCCTTCTGGGGTCCAGGTCAGAGGAAGACTCCTGGGGTTCTTTCTCATTGGTGGAATGAATCTGGTTAAGCAAATCTGCCTTCCAGTAGAAAGCTGACGAGCTGTTTGCTCTAAACAGCAAATTTGAAAAGCTATCAGGCGAGTTTTCCAATTGGCTCCAGGTTAGTTTCAGAGTGTGCTCAGGCTTTGGCGACTTTGTGGCTGTCAGTCACCCTCAGACTTTCGGGTATTTGGTTTAAAAAAAAAAAAGAAAGAAAAGAAAGAAAGAAATCTTTGCTTCCTCTGCTTCGGTCTCCTTTTACCGTATAGTTTGGTGTAGAGGGGCATTGCCTTTGCAGTATGGAGGCAGAGGCTTCAGCCTTGCTATTCCCTAGTGTAGGAGCATGGACCAGTTGCTTCACAGGTGTATTTCAGGGATAAGAGTACAATGGAGATAGGTTGACACTTTGGAAAGGTACTCAAAACAGAATCCTGTGCAAATGAGTCCATCCCTAGATAGAGCCTTGGGAGGCTTCTCTATTTGGATTGAGTGACATTTTTTTATTCTCCACATTGCTGTGAATGGTTTGGATCTTCTGTTACACCACTGACAGACCAGTCTCTGAGCAAACTGGGACTGTTGGAGAATACTCTTCTCTTCCTCCTGGTTTTTCTTAGGTTTCCATGGTTCTTCAGGAAGCTTAGCAGCTAGGGTTTCTTTCTCTGTCTCCCCCTCAACTCTTAATTGTTGTGTATAGCCTAGCTTCTTAAACTATGGGCCACGACCTCCATGGGGCCATGTAACTGAATGTGGGGCTTGCAAAAATTTTGTTCGTTGTGTTTGTAAAATTTGATGATTGGTTACCAGCATATGTTTGGTTTTATATACCTATATACCTGGTGTCTCATAAAAATTTCTCAGGTGAAATAGGGCTGCAAATGGAAGAAGGAAACCCTAGGGTAGGAACTGTTTCCCATCCCCCAAAATGTGACATGGAAGCTGCAGTGATGCTGGTTGGGCTCTCAGCCATACTGGAGGAGGCATTGAACTGAAAAAGAGCTGACGGTCCTAAACCAGAAGTTGAGCAGGAGATATCCCAGAAGAAGAAGAAAATGGGTCTTGGAATAACAGTTGCATAAAATAAATACAAATAAGCCATCAGGGAGATAACATAGGGCGAACAGTGTATCCAGGAGGGGACCTTGGACCTTCTGAGCATCTCTTGGAAGGGCCTTCCCCCTCTCAATAAAATAAATAAAAGCAGAAAAAAAATGGACTTTATCTTAAGATTCCTTAACAAGTCAACAAGTCACAGACTCTTCCTGTTTCTCCATTTTTTTTCTTTCTGGTTTTGGAGCCACACCCTCACCTGGTCTCACTCCTGGCTCTGCAATCAGGGATCACTCCTGATGGGGCTCAGAGGGATCATATGTGGTGCTGTGCTGGGGATTGAACTTAGGTCTGCTGAGTGCAAGGCAAGTGCTTTCCTTACCCACTGAACTAGCTCTCCTGCCCCAACTTCTACAAAATCTTACTCGGTATTTAACTTTTTTCATTAGGAAAAGATCATGAAAAAAACAGTTGAGAAAACTGCTGTAAGGTGACTGTCTGGCATCTGCAGCAACTGGGGGAGGGGGGAGAGAGGGAGGCATTCTTTCTGCTGCCCTTGTTTAGTTCTGAAGTTGGTGGGCCCCCACCGGTGACTTACAGGAGGCAAAGAGGAGAGAAACATACATTTTCTCCCAATCCACCTCTGTCACCCCAGGACCAGCTGGGAAGTCTAGGACTGAAAAAGTCTGTGGTGAGCCCCTGCGTGGCACGAACCAGAGCCCCGCCATCCCTGCTAGGTGGCTGTCAAGTACACCTGATGCCCATTTGACCTTCTCATCATGGCAGTTAATTCCCATCACCTAAGCACACCTGATGCCCATTTGACCTTCTCAGCATGGCAGTTATTTCCCATCACCTGATTTCTCAGGCCTTGTTGATTGAGGAAGGAGTGAGGAATTGCTCTCCCCCACTTCCCCACTGATATACACACACGAAAAAAGACTTAGCAAATTCATATTTTAGGCTTAAGATTTTACTAATATTGACCAGTCTGTTTTTTTTTTTAAGGATTCCAATTCTTTTGGAATCACAATGATTGTTTTGCATATCCTGATTCATTATTATTCCACTGGGATTCATTTTCTAGGCGATGGACATGGAAGCAGAGAACCAGGAAGTATGCAACAACCACAGGTAATAATAGTCAATTTATTTGGCTTTGCTTAGGATTGTGAACTGAAAAGGGAAATGTCTACTCTCAATTTGCACACTTAGAATTTGTTTTCCTGTACTTTCGAAGTTTGGACTTTTGCGTGATAATTTTCTCAGCTATTATTGAATCATAGTTTTTGCTTTTAGGTCAAATCTCTCTTGCTGTTGAATCTAAAATATGTCAGGAAATAACTGAAAGGTTTTGTATGTATGTTGTTATTTCTGTTTTATACTCTTCATTGTTTTCACTTGAAAAGGCATAAATACGATGCACTAAATCAGTGCTTTAAAATTGCCCTTTTTAAGTAGCAGAACCTTTCACAAATAAAATTTTATATGGAAATCCCAACTATAACATTAAAAAAAATAACTTCTAGTTGGTTTTGCATATCCCTCTTCTCCCAAACTCACACCCCCGAATACTACTTCACCCCAGAACCTTTGTGGTCTGCAACTCTTGGGCTTCATCAAACCCCACTGACGAACATTCATTAAAAGTATGCAGATCCATAATTTTTGAGAAAAAAATAACCATTGTAAATGTCAAAGAACATTTCCTGTGTGAGGATGGATGAAGTGTGTTTTATATATGAATACAAAGCCTGTCCTTACAGCAGAGGCCTCTGAGCTTGTGTGATGTGCATTTGGATTGCAAGAAAACCACACAGTTCCCTTCCACAGAAAGGGCAGTGTAGCCTAGACCCAGAGCTCAAGTGCTAGAGTGAGCCCAACTGGGGTTCAAATCCTGGACCTGACACCTCCCCCCTCCCCAATCCTTTTCTTGGATCTCTATTTTTTTCAAATATACCTCAAATACATAATATTTCAAAGTAATCTCTCTCTCTGTCTTAGTTTCTTCACCTTTAAAAGTGAGATCATAATAATTCTCTCTGTTTCAAAGGATGACTGTAATTGAGTCTCTCAGCACAGGACCTTACTGAGGAGGTTATTTGTAATGGTGATTTATTATATTATTATTATTATTATTAGCTTTTTGGCATTACACAGGGGTTACTCCTGGCTCATACTCCATATGGGATGCTGGGAATCGAACTCGGGTCGACAGCGTGCAAGGCAAACGCTCTACCTGCTGTGCTATTGCTCCAGCCCCAATTTATTATTTTTTTAAAGCTATTATAGTTTGATCTTGGGCATAAAATTTTTTCTCTGTATTTTATGTTGGAAAAGCTGAGAACATAAGATTTAATGTTGATAAAGGTATCTCGACTTTTGGGGAAGAAGAAAGTTAGGCATTGTCTGATAGTAATTACTCTGTAATTATTATCAGAGTGGTTGTTTTAGACTCTGTTATGCTGCTGTTACCAAAACAAATGTTTATCATCTGGTTAATATCATGAAACTTTTCTTTCTCTTTTTCATTGTTTGCTCCCCAGTAACACTTATATATGATTTTTATGATGTTTTAAACAGGACAAAACATAACCAAGGTCCTTGTTGCCAACAGAGGAGAAATTGCCTGCAGGGTGATGCGAACAGCCAAAAGAATGGGTGTACGGTCTGTGGCTGTTTATAGTGAAGCTGACAGAAATTCCATGCATGTGGACATGGTATGTTGTTAAATGCTGAAAGTCAAATTTTGTAAGTGATCATAATTAATTGTTTATTGATCATATTTGTTTATGTTGATGGTTTATAATGGCAAATGTTAGGAGTATTTGCAGTGATTAAAGTCCAAACACCTCAGTGATCATTTCTCTGGGGAACCATTTCCAAATATAAGTTGAGTGGTCTTCTTATTTTAATTTTTTAGGCCAATCCTAGCAGTTTTCAGGGAATCATGCGGTGCCAGGAATTGAACTCAGAGTTACTGCATACAAAGTATGTGGTCCATCCAGCCCCTTGAGATATCTCCCTGGGCCCCTTTTGTCTTTTTTTCAATTAATTATTTTTAACAGTGGCTTCATGATTTCTAATAGTATTATTAATGTTTTAGATTTTTTTTTTGCTTTTTTTTTTTGGGGCGGTCACACCTGGCAATGCACAGGGGTTACTCCTGGCTCTGCACTCAGGAATTATCCCTGGCGGTGCTCAGGATCCCACAGGGGATGCTGGGAATTGAACCTGGTCGGCTGCGTGCAAGGCAAATACAGCCATACTCGCTGTGCTATATCGCTTCAGCCCCTAATGTTTTAGGTCGTAGTGGTACTGTACCATACAGGTACCATCCTGACATCTGAGTGCCAATACCCTTCAATCATTGTTCCTGGGATCTGTCTGATTGTAACCCTGCATCCCATCCTGCTTAGCCGAGTCAGTGCTGTTGGCAGAATCCCAGGTTTGTTTTCATTGACTATTATCTACCCCCTTGCTTTATTTTGTATGCTCTCACATGAGTGAGAACATCAGTGATTTTTAACTTTCAGTTTTCGGACCCAGTGTCAGTCTGTAGAAATGTCCTACAAAAAGTTGCCACGTAGGATGGGTGTTGGGTCATGGTGTGACTGAGACCTGATCATGAACAACTTTGTAACTGTTCATGCACCGCCTGCCCACATGCAGTCCAACCATTTTTCTTTCTGGGGAGTGACTACCTCAAACCTCTTTTGATCCATTCCAAGCTCTGACCCTTTTTCTGTGCTGCCTGTTCTCAGTAGGAAATCTGTGAAATCAAGAATCTGCTCACGGGCTGGAGCAATAGTACAGCAAGTAGGGCATTTGCCTTGCTCTCGGCCGACCCGAGTTCAAGTCCCAGCATCCTATATGGTCCCCCGAGCACTGCCAGGATTAATTCCTGAGTGCATGAGCTAGAAGTAACCCCTGAGCATCACCAGGTGTGACCCAAAAAGCAAAATAAATTAAAAAAAATAATAATCTGCTTGCCTGTGTTTATGTCCCACCCATCCCCCCTTCCTCCCTGAGACCACCCATCTACCTGTATTCCGAATCCTTCTCTCACCTTTTCAAGGCTCTGCCATGTTTGTCTTTTCTCTGTGTATGTTTTTGCTCACAGCCTGTCTACTTTTATGGCTTTACTAATCTCTCTCTCTCTCTCTCTATATATATGTATACACACACACACACACACACACACACACACACGCACGCACGCACACATCAAGCTTTCTTTTTCTAGGGCCCCATTTTCTTTTGAGCATGACACATGTATATTCAGCTGCCCATTCAACATTGCCACCTGGATGGATCATAGGTACCGGGCGAATATGTCTGAAATTGAGCTCATGACTTTTCATCAATATTGGACCTGTTGCTTTTCCTGCAGATTTTCCTTTCCTCATAGATAATGTCATTGCTCATTTAAAAAAAAAAAAGAAGGCATTGACAGCTGACTTTGGATTTCTTTTCTGCTTCTTCATACTCGCATCCTTCACACTTCTCATTCAGACATTCACCCTGTGCTAAGAATTCCACATCCTAAACACACTGTTCCTTTCTGTACCTGAAGGCAGTGTCCCTGTCCTCTGATGTGCTCTCTCGACTTCCCACATTTCTTGGTGGCAGGTAGGGTTCCACTTTTCTAGACGGCCACCTCCGGCAGCCCTCAGAGGCTGCTCTGGCTCCCTCTGGTACTTGGAGGGCGATGGAGTGCTGGGAGTGAAAGCAAGACAAAGTGCCTGAATCCCCCATCCTGTCTCTCTTGCTCCTCTATTTACTACTCTTTTCTCCCCAAGTTTCAAACTGTGTTCTACATTTCAGCCAGACTGATTAAATTAAAAAATTTTCCCTCCAATACTTCTCTGCTCTAAGTGCTCTAAACCTTTTATGGTCTGATTAGCTATAATTTTAAAAAGATAAATCCTTGTTTTAATTTTTAATCCACTGTCACTATCACTGTCCTCCTGTTGTTCATCGATTTGCTCGAGCGGGCCCAGTAACGTCTCCATTTTGAGACTTTTTATTACTGTGTTTGGCATATCGAATACATCCCGGAGAGCTTGCTAGGCCGGGCTCTCTGAGAGGGGTGGAGGAATCAAACCCGGCTCCGCTGGGCTGGCTGCATGCAAGGCAAACTCCCTACCGCTGTGCTATCACACCAGCCCACCCTTGAGCACGGCCAGGAATAATCCTTGAGCAAAGCCCTCAAACAAAATAGCAGGAAAAATTCAGTTGTAATAAATTATTATGTAGTTGGGTCCCATTTGTGTCAAAACAAGTAATTTGTTACTGTAAACATGTAAGCGATAGCATAGCGGTAGGGCGTTTGCCTTACAAGCGGCCAACATGGCCGACCCGAGTTCGATTCCTCTGCCCCTCTCGGAGAGCCCGGCAAGCTCCCCGTGACGTATTCGATATGCCAGACACAGTAACAACAAAGTCTCCAATGGAGACGTTACTGGGCCCGCTCGAGCAAATCGACGATCAACGGGAGGGCCTTTACCTTTTACCTTTAAACATGTAAGAATATGGAGAAATATGAATATGTAACATTATGTCCGAAATTGCTCACTGGAGTTGTGGAGAGAGCTCAAAGGGCTGGAGTACATGCTTTGTGTGACCCTCAGCGCTGTACGGGACCTTCAGCATGGAAGAATAGTTTCCCCGCACTGCCCCCGAACAAAATTAGATGCTGAATTGACCATAGCAGTTACATCCATCCTCCTTTCCCCCTCTCCAGCCCTCCAACACTGGGAATTGAACTTCGGCCTCAGGCAGGCATAGCAAATACTTGACCCCTGGGCAGTATCCCAGCCCCAAGACGGTTATGTCTGGAAAGGCTGGAGGGACAGAGAGGACCCCTCTGCCTTTCATTCATGTTCCCATTCTTAATTTTTTCTGAAACAAACTTTTGTTTTGTGAAATGACAAGTTGTTGGTGTTATCTTTAAAAATTTTTTTAAAATAAATACATCTCATTATGTAGTTGTGGGGTGGGAGATTGAGTGGGGGGCGTGGAATTCAAAACTTGACCCTCCCACAAGGTCTGTCCTTTCCCTTTTGGTCTTCTCGCCCGGCCACACAAGCCTCCTTTAGTCCATCCCTCCAGTGGCCATATTTTTCCTGATCTCGTTGTTTTCCCTGCCCCCAGCTCCATTCCTGTTCCCAGTTCCACACCTTCCACCCCTTTTCTGGGCAAAGACCTGGTCATTCTGGAGGCATCTTCTCTCCCCAGGGTTACCCTCACCACCCTCCAGCCTATGAGTCTTCTTACCTCGTGTCATGCCCGGTGCATTTCCTCCACGGTCCTGACCAGTTGCCCCTAAGTTTGCAAACACATCAGTGTCGAGCTCCCTCTCAGTTGTCCTATGGACTACCATACAGGCAGCACCCACCGCTTGAAATGTGGCCCACAGCAGGCGTTTCGTACGTTTTTGAATGAGGATCTCCCATCTGATCTGTTTCAGGGCATGCTCTGGTTACTTGAAAGCATCAAGGGATAATATAAAGTGTTTGAAAAATAAGGAGCATTGCCACAGAGGCAGGGTGGGAATGGGGGGATGGGTGTGGGAGGGATACTGGGATCCATGTGGTGGAAAATGGGCACTGGTGGAGGGATGGGTATTTGATCATTGTATAATTGAACCCAAGCACAAAAATTTGTAAATCTACAACTGTACCTCATGGTGTTTCACTGAAAAAAAAAATAATAATAAGGAGCATTATCCTATGCTAATACTTTTGTCAACATTAACAAACTATAATTATATTGTGGTATGATTGTATTATAATTATATTATAGTAAAGTAATTCTTGCTGTCCACATCTATTGTATATTTTACAAATTTGTAAATTTTCAGCTTTCAATGCATTTAAGGGATGTGTGTGTGTGTGTGTGTGTGTGTGTGTGTGTGTGTGTCCAATAACAATGCTATGGGTAATACCAATTTCTTTTTTCTTTGTTTTGTTTTTTTGGTTTGGGACCACGTCCAGATGTTTTCAGGGCTTATTCCTGGCTCTGAACTCAGGGATCACTCCTGACAGGGCTCAGGGGACCAGATGGGGGTGCGGGGATTGAACTCGGGCCATGTGCAAAGCAGCTGCCCTATCCGCAGTCCTATCTCTCCAGCCCCTAGGAATGCCAATTTTTGTTCGAAGACTTCAACTTTAATATGTGATTTATACATAAAAATGGAGTATTGTCAGGGCCAGAGAGATAGTACAGGACTTGCCTTGCAAACGAGTGACTGAGTTGGATCCCTGGCATGGCACCGCTCCACATGTGGTCCCCCAAGACTTCCAGGAAGGATTCCTGAGAACAGAGGTAGGAATAAGCCCTGAGCACTGATGGGTGTGGCCAAGCAGGCAAACAAAAATCAAGTATATCTTTCTCACATGAAATTTTCTCACAGGGGGCTGGAGAGATAGCACAGCAGGTAGGGTGTTTGCCTTGCACGTGGCTGACCCGGGTTCGATTCCCAGCATCCCATATGGCCCCCTGAGTACCGCCAGAGGTAATTCCTGAGTGCAGAGCCAGGAGTAACCCCTGTGCATCGCCAGGTGTGACCCAAAAAGAAGAAAAAAAAATTTCTCACACTGGCTTTTTATGCCATGAGCCCAGAGCGATTGCAGCTGTTTCTCAATTCTGGCATGACTCTCGGGGAGCCTGTGTTCTTACTGTGTCATCAAATAACCTCCAAGCTGTTCTAGATGGTATCTTGGTGTGCACTAGCAGAATAGACTTTGAAGGCTGTACTGTTTCTTACACAGGCAGATGAAGCCTATTCCATCGGCCCCGCTCCCTCTCAGCAGAGCTACCTTTCCATGGAGAAAATCATTCACGTGGCCAAGATCTCCGCAGCGCAGGTAAGTGTCGCAAACAGACACACAATGCTGTACAGTGGCTTTGTGTGGTTTCCACAGAACAACTTGGGATCTACAGAAGTCACTTCCTGTTTCTAGCGATTCTCCAGATGCTTTCCATTTGCTTATTGGGCAGTGATTGGAGACAAAACATATCCCTTCTCATTCCTTACTCCACCTTCTCACTAAATCCTCTGCACTTTAGACCTTTTGGAAATAGGTGGAGGGAGAACTCAAAGGTAACTTATTACCATTGAGAGTACCCCCTTGCATCATCAAAACCAGATCCGTTGTGGGGACCAGGTGGCATTCTAACTGGCAAGGTAATGATCAAGAGAAATAGTTTCCCTTTTACTTCCCAGCTATACTCCAAGGCCTCACCCTGTTTCCGGGTATTCCAGGTCTGAAACTTCGATGATATTTTATCACTTCTTCATCCTTCAAAATAAATAGGAATAACTTATGTTAAGTCAGCGGTAGGGCATTTGCCTTGCACGCAGCCAACATGGCTGACCCGAGTTCGATTCCTCCGCCCCTCTTGGAGAGCCCGGCAAGCTACCGAGAGTATTCGATATGCCAGACACAGTAACAACAAAGTCTCCAATGGAGACATTACTGGGCCCGCTCGAGCAAATCGATGATCAACGGGAGGGCCTTTACATTTTTACATTTACAAGTCTTTCTTAGACAACAAGTCTCCAGAAGTAGTTCTTATTTTTGGTTGAGTTATTTTTTGGGGGGGGAATGGGGGCAAGGGGGCCACACATCTGGCTGCACTCAGGGAACCAGGTGGTGCTGGGGATCGAACTTGGTGCTCCAGAATGCGGGAAGCATATACTCTAACTTGTTGAGCCATCTCCCCAGCTGGTTCTTTTTTTTTTTTTTTTTTTTTTTTTTAGCGAAATACCATATGGTACAGTTGTTGACCGTACAAGTTTCTGTACTTGGGTTTTGGTCATACAATGATCGAGTACCCATCCCTCCACCAGTGCCCGTTCTCCACCACCATTGGTCCCAGTAACCCTCCCACCCCTCCCATACCCCCATCCCATCCTACCTCTGTGGCAGGGCATTCCCTTTTGTTCTTTCTCTTGTTTTGGATGCTAAGGTTTGCAAGAGAGGCATTGCGTGGCAAACATGTTCGGTCTATAGTCTACTTTCAGCATGCATCTCCCATCCAGGGAGAATCCTCCCAACACCCTTTGCTTAGTGTTCCCTTCTCCGTTTGAGCTGCCCTTTCCCATAGCATGTGTGGTTGGCCTTCAAGCCATGGAGTCAACCTCCTGTAACTTATCTCGACAATTCTAGGATGTTGATCTCCTATTTTGTTATTTTATATTCCCCAGATGAATGCAATCTTTCTATGTCTGTCCCTCTCTTTCTGACTCATTTCACTTAGCATGATACTTTCTGTGTAGTACTATTTGTATGTAAGTTTCATGACTTCGTCTTTTCGAACAGCTGCATAGTAGTCCATTTTATAGATGTACCAAAGTTTCTTTAACCAGTCGTCTGTTCTTGGGCACTTGGATTTTTTCCAAATTTTGGCTATTGTGAACAGTGCAGCAATGAACATAGAAGTGCAGATGTCACTTTGGCTGTACTTTTTTGCCTCTTCAGGATATATTCCCAGCACTGGTGTTGCTGGATCCCAGCTGGTTCTTTACTATAACCACAACCAACTTTTCCATCTTCTTCACATACCGTTTATTTATTTTGGTCCAGTTACCTGAAACTCTCTTTTCTTCTTTCTCTTCCTGCATTTACTCTCTTAGCAGACATTCCTTGGTCTTCTATTGTGTGCCAGTTTTTAATCCTGAGAGCTGGAGAGAGAGTACTTGCTTTGCATGGGGCCAACCTGGGTTTGACCTCTGGCACTGAAGATGGCCCCCTATGCCCTGATAGGAATGATCTCTGAAAACAGAACCAGGAGTAAGCTACAAGCACCACTGGGTCTGGCCCCCAAACAAAACAATTAAATTTTTTTTTAAATGTTGAAACATTAAATGGAGCAAGATTAAGACACACACAATTCCTTCTCTTGAAGCTTTACGCTATTGTGTTGAGAGCTAATAAACATTTAAAAAAATAATAATACAACTGTTAGGGTGATGGGCAGATAATAATAAAGTTGGACAAGAAGATTAAGACTCCTAAGAGTGACTCTCCACTACGGAGACGCCTATAACCTCTTAAGTGAGTATCTAAATCTACCTCTCTCCTTCCTTCCCTTTATTTCCCCAAGAAACTTGTTTACTTCAAAAACTAAATGTTGAGAAGAGTGATCAATGAAGGTCTCTCTGAGGAGGTGACATTTGAACAAATCCCTAAAGGAGCAGAAGGAGCCAGCCATGTGACTTAAGAGGAAGATTCTGGCTAAAGGGATTACCAAGTTTCTGAGATGAAAACAAGGTTGGGGTTAAGGGGCAAAAAAAAAAAAGTATAGTATAGGGGGGCTTGAGTAATAGCACAGCAGGTTTGCCTTGCACCCGGCTGACACAGCTGACCCGAGTTCCATTGTCCTGCCCCTCTCGGAGAGCCGGGCAAACTATCGAGAATATCTCACCCACATGGCAAAGCCTGGCAAGCTCCCCGTGATGGATTCTATGTGCTAAACACAGTAACAAGTCTCACAATGTTACTGGGCCCGCTTGAGCAAATTGATGAACAATGGGAGGACAGTGATAGTGAAGAGTATGGGGACTAGAGAGATGGGACAGGGGTTAAGGCACTTTCCTCGTAGGCAACTGACCCTGGTTTGATTCCCAGGACCACATTTGGTCCTCAAGCACTACAGGGAGTGATCCTGGACTCAGATCCAGGAGTAGGACGTGAGCACTGCTAGGTATGCCTCCCCCCCATCTCCTTCCCGTCCCCCACCCCCCCAAAAAATGTACAGTATGGATGGACTGAAGGTAGTGAGGAAGCTCCTTCCGTCAGTACCACTGAAATGCCATTAGATATTCAGACAGAATTTATTTGGTTTGGTTTGGGGACCACACCTGGAGTTGCTCAGGAGTGACCCCCAGCTTTGTACTGTGAGTTGCTCCAGAGTCTGCCAGGCGCTGAGGGTGCTGAAGATGGAACCCTGACCATCCTCAGCATGCAGATACATATATGATGCATCAGAGCATCTGTGCAGTCTTGCACCATCTCTTGGCCCAACAGATGGGGGTTTGGTGAAATCTTCCTCCGTGAGTGTTAAGAGGCAGTGAAAGAAGGAAGTGTTGAGATCACCCAGTAAGAAGTGCAGAAATTGACACCCACACGCTGTTCTGGGGAAGAGGTGGCAAAGGTGAAGGAGGGGCCTTATGCAGATGGGGCTGGTTCTAGGACTCCAGGGAGCCGCCGCGCTGGCGCCCAGACCACGAACGGGAGGTTCCGTTTCCCTGCAGCGACCCCTGCTGGCAGAATCCTAACAAGCCCACGGCCGGGAAAGGTCTCTTGCAAAGGACCGTATCATTCACTAAACAGAGTAGGAAAAGTTGGGTTTAGAACAGAAAAAAATTGCTGACGCAGAGAGGAACTGTGATTTATCTGAAAGAGAGGTATTGGCAGCCCCATTTAGAGTATCTTAGGTCTTGAGAAGGAGTTTGCGTTTCCTTTAAATAGCAAGTGAAGGATTCTCAGCCAGAGGAGGAAGAGATCTAATGGGCATTTTAATAAAATCACTGTGGTTGCTGGTGGCTCATGTAATGGTGGATTGGGGTACACGTGGAGCTGACAGTAAAGAAAGCCAGCAGAACACATGGGAGTTAGTGGCCGAAGCCCTGTCCTTCGTGGCGATCAGATTCCTTTTTCACCTCGTCTAATCACACGGGCACCCCCTTGACCTTCAGCGTTTAGAGTCCATGTTCCAGTCTTTTTCACACCTGGTTAGCTATTACCTCAATTCATCATGTAAATGCACGTCTTCACTCTCAACTCCACTGTGCTCTTCCTGAGAGAAGAACCCATACGGGGGAGACTTGTTTTCTATCCCTCCTAGCACACGAGGCTTGAGCTAATGAGTCAGGTGATGGTTTTGTGTTTATTCATTTTTGCATCAGTGTTCTCATCTTCGATCTATATCCCTGGACTTAATAATTCAGTCATGGGTATTTAAAATATGCTGGTGTTTAAAGCTTTTTATTTCTTTATTCACTTTTACAGTTATAAAGCTTTCGTATTTGAGTTACGGTCATGCAATGATCAATCACCCATCCCTTCACCAGTGCACATTTTTCAACACCATAATCCCCAGTAACCCCTCCCCTCCCCCGGCTCCAGCCCTTCCCCTGCCTGTTGGAAGACAGTTTCCACAATACTCTCTCTACTATGATTACATTCAATATTTCGACACCTGTCCCACCACTACTCAAACCTCCCAAAAAGGCAATGCTAGACAATTTGTTTTGTAGTGCTTGTTAAGGGTAGCATATAATACTCTAGGAATTCTAAATTTTTGATAATTAGGGTCTGGAGAGATCTCTGCAGCGAGCTCTTTGGTTCCGAGATTTGTGTGTGTGCTTCTGGGTCATGGCTGTGTCACGGTCCTTCCGTTGTTCATCGATTTGCTCGAGCGGGCCCAGTAACGTCTCCACCATGAGACTTGTTGTTACTGTGTTTTGGCATATCGAGTACATCACGGGTAGCTTGCCAGGCTCTGCCGTGCGGGCGAGATACTCTCGGTAGCTTGCCGGGCTCTCCGAGAGGGGCGGAGGAATTGAACTCGAGTTGGCCATGTTGGCTGCGTGCAAGGCAAATGCCCTTCCGCTGTGCTATCGCTCCAGCTCCCCATGGCTGTGTAGGAGCTTAATAAGCAGCCAGGGGGCGTTTGTGGGTGTCATCTCAGAGTCCCTTGGGGGGGGGGGAGGCCCGGCTCCTCCCCTATCACGTGAGGCCTGGCATTTGCCACTTCTGCTCCCGCATACCTGGATTTTTTGTTGGCTTCTAGAGGGTGGAAGCTGCCCGGATTCTTAGGGGGCAGGTGGAGGGACAGCACCTACTCCCGTCTGGAGTGGCCCAGAAAAAGTGGCCTATTGCAAAGTCCGAAGGCATCTCTGCAGCCAGCTGCTCAGTTCTGAGATTCGTGTGTGTATCCTAAAGCTTTTTAAGTTATACCTTGGAGTAAAAGATTCTTAAGATGGCAAGAAAACATGTCATCTTAAAAATATTTTAAAAGGCAGGAAAAAGAGGCTAGAATGAAAATAAGCAAGTAAAGCATTTGTCTTGTGTGCTACCAACCTGGGTTGGATCCCCAGAATCCCATATAGTCACCTGAACCCACCAGGAGTTATTCCTGAGCCAGGAGTAACCCCTGAGCACCACCAGGTGTGACCCTCCAAAAGTTCCCCCAAAAGGGGGAGGAAAATAGGAAAGCAATGAGATTTACTGAGAGGAAGCCAATTCTTACTTCAACTTCAATATCTGTGAGGGCTATTTTTGTTGTTATACTATAATTATAGCCAAGAGAATGCAAAAAGAAAAAAAATATGCCTGACCAACTGTATTTTAAAATAGTTACATTCAGGGGCCTGGAGAGAAAGTACAGGGGTTAACTCACTTGCCTTGCATGGGACAATCCTGCAATACTGCAATGATATGCAGCTTCCCATGTCATCCCACGGACACTCCCAGGAGTATTTTTCTGAGCACAGAGCCAGGAGTAAGCCCTGAGCATCTGTGGATGTGGTGCCAGGGATTGAACCCACGTTGGTCCTGTGCAAGGCAAAAGCCCTACCCACTGTACTGTCACTGCTTGAATATATGGGCCCTATTGTTTCTTTTTAACTTTTTCTGGAAAGGTGATTGGCAGATAGTGATGTGAAGAAGAATGAGGCACAAATTTGGCATATTGTGGTTTCAATTCTAGGCCAGCTTGATTGATTGATTGATTGATTGGGGCACCACATCTAGTGATGCTCAGGGGTTACTCCTGACTCTGCACTTGGAAATCTAAATCTCTCTTGGCAATGCGCAGAGGACTATATGGGATGTCAGGGACCAAACCCAGATCAGATGCATGCAAGACAAGTGCCCAACCCACTGTGCTATCTCTCCATCTAGGCCAGCTCTCTCAATATACAGAGACCCAGAAAATAAATCCCCTTACTATTCTGAAACCCTTTATCCCTGGTTGGAATTTTTTGATATTCTACATTTTAAAGATCATCTACTTAACCTAAAGAAAAAGGTTAAAGACCATGATTTTTCATATAGAGCACTTTGGAGGAGTCTTGAGATTTTGCTCCCCTAGAGTGTTTTTTAAAAAAGTGTTTTCTGTTTGCAAAGAGCTGCTGAACTCAAATTTTTTTTTTTTAGGAAAACATCCTTTTGTGTAGTCTCTTAACTCAGTAGTTATAGAAAATTATAAAATCATATTGTACAGTAATAATGTGCATAGGACAGTTGAGTTAAATTAGTAACTTAAGCTTTGTTAACTGGGCCAGAGTGATAGCATAGCGGGTAGGGCATTTGCCTTGCATGCAGCTGACCTGGGTCCAATTCCTCCACCCTTCTGAAAGAGCCCGGCAAGCTCCCGAGAGTATCCCTCCCGCACGGCAAAGCCTGGCAAGCTCCCCATGGCATATTTGATATGCCAAAAACAGTAACAATAAGTCTCACAATGGAGACGTTACTGGTGCCCTCTTGAGCAAATCGATGAACAATGGGAGGACAGTGCTACAGTGCTATTCTGCATTTAAAAAAATTTTTTTATGAGATTCATATTTACTAAGTTGTTCATGGTTGGGTTTCAGTCATACAATGTTTCAATACCTGTCCCTTCACCAGTGTACATTTGTCACCACCAATGTTTTCAGTTTTCCTCCCATCACCTTCAGCCTGTCTCTACGGCAAATACTTTTCTTCTCTCTCTCTCTCTCTCTCTCTCTCTCTCTCTCTCTCTCTCTCCTCTCTCCCTCTCTCCCCCCTCTTGGTCATTATCATTTGCAATACAAGTACTGTAAGGTTATCACATATATACCTTTACCTACTTTTAGTACTCGATCACACAAGTCCTAAATGATCATTTCCAACTTGACTTTCTAGCTTAATAACAATAATATTTTAAATTAAAAAGGCAAATTACTTTGCACCCTCTGATTCAACAATTCCATTTTTGGATATATACTTAAAAGAATTTATATCAGAAACTTGAACAGATACTTTACATCAGTGTCTTCACAGCAGAATTTTTCACAGTTGTCAGAAAGTGGGAATAATATATTCATCCAAAGGTAAATTGAGAAACAATATATTGAATGTACATACAGTTAAATGTCATTCTGCTTTATAAAAGAACCCAACAAGGTTCAACCTTCAAAACGTTATGTTAAATGAAATAAGCCAGACACAACAAATATTGTACACTTTCTCTTCAGTTAAGTACCTCGGATAGGTAAAATCATGGAGAATTTCTGTTGGAATGATACAAGTATCCTGGAAATGGATGATGACGATGATTGTGCAGCATTATGTCCTTAGTAATCATGAATGATTTATTTAAAAATGGTCATTATGATAACTGTTGTTACATGTTTAGTAACATAATTAAAAATGTCCAGATTCTTCAGGTAAGTCTTCAGAACTATAGTGTGAATCTTAAAACTATTTATTTGAAAGCAAGTTAGGGAGAGACCACCATTTGCTTCACAGTGTCAGAATTTACCTCCCAATTCTCTCTTCTAGGCGATCCATCCAGGATATGGATTTCTCTCTGAGAACATGGAATTTGCTGAACTTTGTAAGCAGGAAGGCATTATTTTTATAGGTCCTCCTTCATCTGCAATTAGAGACATGGGTATAAAGAGGTGAGGATACCCTTTTAAGTACACCTATATAAAATCAATAAAAAATAGTTTGTTTCACCTATGACAGACATGTTAATACCCTTTTTTCATAGGCATAATTACTTATGTATCTATCACTTTGGTGAGTTACAGAAAACAATCAGCTAGTGTTTCTAACCAATAACTCGCTGGGGGGCAGTGGATAAGGTGCTTACCTTGTACACTGCCCACCATGATCTCCAGCACCACATATGGTCCCTTGAGTATGGTAGTCCCTGGCACAGAGCCAGGAATCAGACCTGAGGACCACCTGGTGTGGTCCAAAATTTAAAAAAAAAAAAGTATATTCATTAGCTCTAAAGGAGGGTAAAAACATTCATTTGTTTCGAGGGTGTTATAAACATGAAATGCTAGATGGAGATAATGATTAATAATATTAATGAATTAATATTATTAACACAGACATTAAAACTTTAATGTCTGTGTTAATAATATTCATTGCCTCAGACCATAGTCTTTTACCTGTGGAGCGTTTCATCCTAACAGGACCAACGTGGGGGCCTGAGAGATAGAACAGAAAGGTGAAGCTCTTGTCTTGTTTGCCGCAGATCTGTTTGACCAGTGGCAGCACAATGTGGCCCCCAGGCCACCACCAGGGGCCACTCCTGAGCACAGAGCCAGGAGAAGCCCCTGGGTACCTCCACCTCCAACTGTGGTCTCACGCCCTCCCTCACCCCCGAAGGAAAAGTTTCATTGTGGGTTGCAGACATAGTGCAGGCATTGCCTAATGCCCCCAGCCCCGGTTAGATCCCTGCACCACTTAGGTCTGATGTGTGGTCCCCCGCACATCAACAGCCGAGGCCTGGAGGCGCCCAGCTCTGCCCGCGTGGTGCAGGTGGTCTCCGCCTTGTGGGCAGGGAGCAGCACAGATGCTCAGCCCGAGTGTTTGCCCGAAAGGCCCAGTGGGCAGAGCATCACCTCACGCGGCCTCTAAGGGGCCTTGAGCTTCTCTCGGGAGCCCCTCACCTCTGCATAAGGAAAGTCCCACTGCATTTTTTTTAAGTTTTATTGATTTATTTTCTGATAATTCCATTTACCTTTTTTTAAAAATTTTTACTAGTGAAACACCATGAGGTGCAGTTATAGACTTACAAATTTTTGTGCTTGGGTTTCAGTTATACAATGATCGAGTACCCATTCCTCCACCAGTGCCCATTCTCCACCACCACGGATCCCAGTATCCCTCCCACCCCCCACCCCACCCTCATCCCACCCTGCCTCTGTGGCAGGGCATTCCCTTTTGTTCTCTCTCCTTTTGGGTGCTGTGGTTTGCAAAAGAGGCATTGAGTGGCAATCATGTTCAGTCTATAGTCTACTCTCAGCACTTATCTCCCATCCTGGGAGGATCCTCCCAACACCCTTTATTTGGTGCTCCCTTCTCTGTCTGAGCTGCCTTTTCCCCTAGCATGTGTGGTTGGCCTCCAAGCCATGGAGTGAACCTCCTAGTACTTATCTCAGCTATTCTTGGGTGTTAAAGTAACAAAATAGGAGACAAACTCCCACTGCATTTTGTATGGGCTGGAGCCAGTGTGTTTCTCTTGCATGAAATGACTAATGACTCAGTGAACTGGGGCTTCTTGTCTTCATATCACTGTCTTTCATGCTACAGCACATCGAAAGCCATAATGGCAGCTGCTGGGGTGCCTGTCGTGGAGGGCTACCACGGCGAGGACCAGTCAGACCAGTGCCTAAAGGAGCACGCGGGGAGGATCGGCTATCCTGTGATGATCAAGGCCGTCCGGGGTGGCGGCGGGAAGGTGAGGCTCACGTACTGCTGTCCTCCCCACCAGCCAGGCCTCCCTGTCCCACCCTTGCTCACTGTCTTTCCCTCCTAGGGCATGAGGATTGCTCGGTCTGAAAAAGAATTTCAGGAACAGTTAGAATCGGCCCGGAGAGAAGCTAAGAAGTCCTTCAATGATGATGCCATGCTGATTGAGAAGTTCGTGGACACACCCAGGTATGTTTGCTTCTTTCCCCTGAGGTCTGTTGAAATTACAAAAAACAAACAAACAAACAAAAAATGTGCACAAAATAGAAAATTGTGTTTTGGCTTTGGGTGGATTTGTTGTTGTTGTTGTTTTTCTTTTTCTTTTTGGCTCACACCCAGCAATGCTCAGGGGTTACTCCTGGCTCTGAACTCAGGAATCACTTCTGAAGGTGCTTGGGGGACCATATGGGATGCCGAGGATCGAACCCGGGTTGGCTACATGCAGCGTAAACGCCCTACCTCTACTATGAATTTTTTGTTTTGTGTGGGCACAGCTGGCAGGGCTCAGGGGTTGTAGTCCACTTGCTGGGGGTCACTTGAGAGATCCCCAGGGGAGTGTATGGAGGTATGAGCCCAGGCTTCCTGGGGCAGACCATGGACCAGCCCTTTGAGCTCTCTGGCCCCCAGTTAGAAGGAGCCTCAGTAGCACATGAGCCCATTAGCTTTTCTCATCTCGTCCCCTGCTCTAGAAGATTGTAACGTTAGTGCTGATCTTATTTCTAGGTATTTTTTTGTATAAATGCTCACTTCTAGATATATATGTCTATATGCAGAATAATAATGAATAGAACCTTATATGTTCATATATCTAAGGCCTATTCCCATGTCAGTAAATGCTGATCTGCCTCATTTGTCAATTGTTCTTAACAGTTAATAATTGTTAAGAACAATATTAATATATTAATATGTTGTGATATTAATATATTAACTTATTGAATCTATTTCTTTCTGATGTAATTTAGCGTCTCTTTATTTTGCAAAATTAGACTATTTTATAGAGTTCTGTCAATTTCATTTGAGAGACTTAGAAAATGGTAGCAGTTATTCAGCTTGAAATATAATTGTGCATAATATGTTAACAAATAGTAACACTAACATCTCTCTTCTGTTGCCCTTAGTTCTTCTGTCATATTTCTCTCCTAACCTAGTTTTGATTCTTACCATAACCGCATGGGTCGGTGCTGCTCCTATTCACCGTCCAGTACCCTGAGCAGGAGAGCAGGGAGTTACTTGCCCGAGGCTCCCGGCTGTGTGACTCCAGTATTCATACTCCAAAGCTGTTGGATGCTATATTGCTTCTCTTGGGTACCGCTAGACCAAATACCATGGGAAGCTCTACCTCTTTTTATTTTGTTTTGTTTTGTTTTAATTTTATCTTCATGCCTGTTCCTTAAAATCGGGTACTGGTTACACTGTTTCACAGATTTTGTGATGAGTCAAGTGGCTTTAAAAGGGATCATTTATGTGGGGACCATGACCAGAGAGGGGTTCACCTGGAATGTTCTCAAGGGGGCCCTCAGCTCCTTCCTTTTGGGGTCTCTTCCAAGAGCCTAGACTTGACTATAAATTCCTTAGGTCAGGGAAGGCCCTCCTAAACTTAGACCTGTCCTGGAGCATGGTGTGGTAAATTAAATTCATTTAGGGTTTGACGTAAAAGAATAACGGCACTCTCAAAATAGAGAACATACAGCTATGTGGGACGTAAGGAAAAGAGGGAGGAGGTTCTTGATGAAAGACACAGGCGCCCTTCCAGGGAGAATTTCAGAGCAAATAGCCTGGCTGTGCACCTTGGCATCCTCCTGAGCTAAGCTCGTGGAGATGGCACTAGCTCTCTCAGCCACTGTAACCCAATGCTTGCAACAGGTTTTGAAGATGTAAATTCTTTCCTTGTGAAATGTTAAGCTATTTATTACCTCATGTTGTAATTTATTTCCCCAGTAGCTGGCATGCTTAGGGGCATGAAGGCCTCACGATATATCTCTTAATTTTTCCTGACCTTGCATACTACTTTCTTCAGGTATCAATTATGATTTTTAAGACCTCGGAAAGTGATATAAATATGGTACAAACCTGAAACATGCAAAACGTGGAAAACAAAACAATTCACAATGGCATTCTTTTTACATTACTATTTAAATGTCCTTATCTCCTTCTTATTTTTTGGAGGGATTTGGGGCCACACCTGACAATGCTCAGGGGTTAGTCCTGGCTCTGCTCAGAGATTACTCCTGGCGATGCTTAGAGGAACTTAGTGGGTGCTGGGGATTGAACCTGGGTCAGCTGCACATAAGACAAGTGCCTTACCTGCTTGCTCTCTCTCCAGCATCACAGTTTGTATGTTATTTTTCTGTATTTTTTTATCCTGTTTATTCGTCGGTTGCCTCGAGCAGGCCCCTGTAATGTCTCCTTCGTCCTAGCCCTGAGATTTTTTAAAAAGTGCCATATTCAAGGCTCTTTCAGAATTAGGAGAATGAGACCCATCATTGTTACTGGTATTTGGCATATTGGGTACGCCACGGGGAGTTTGCCAGACTCTGCCATGTGGGCAGGTTACATTTGGTAGCCTGCCAGTTTGTGATTTATCTATTCATAATATACACATTTCAGACTCATGTTGTGTTTCCTATTGTACGTACTAGTTGGTAATTTTTTGTTTGTTTGTTTTTGCTTTGGGGGGCATTCTTTGCATTTTAGGGCAAGAAGAGAAGAAGCCTAAACATTTTGAAATATGCGCAGAAGAGTCTGTTCCTCTTAGCAGAGGCCACTGTGTCAAGCCATCTTGGCTTGAGCCTTTCCTGTCCGAGGGAAAGGACAGTCACCCAATCTTCGGTGTCCTTAGAGCAGACCTCCTATTTCAGCTGAGGATAGGAGACACTTTTAGAGCACTGGGACACAGACCCATTTAAAAGGCTGGGATTTGTTGGTAAGACTATAGAAGCCTTTCTCCTCTACACGCTATTCCTACTCTAACTACTTTCATATAATTACAGTGATGTGCAACTAGAAGAGGTACAAGACAATGACTCTGCCTCAGGGAAACCCAGAGGCAGTTGGGGAGAAGGTGAAAGAAAGGACACTCAGACACACTAACTCTCCTCATCCCTACAGCCTGACTTTTTATTTTTGTTTTGGGGACACATCTGGTGATGCTCGGGGCTTACTCCTGCCTCTGTACTCAGGAATCACTCCTGGTGGTGTTCCCGGGACCAGGTCGGCCTCGTGCAGGGCAAGCCATCATTCTGGTCCTGGAATGTCTGACTTTTAATTTAAAAAATTAGAATACATGCAAGGGTAAGAAAAACAAGTCTGTACTCAGGTAGTTTTTGCTGTTTTGTTTTGTAGCCACACCTGGTAGTGCTTAGAACTTACTCCTGACTGTGCTTAGGGATCAGGATTGAACCCCAGTTAGCTGTGCGCAAGGCGAGTGCCTTACCTGCTGTCCTATCTCTCTGGACCCAGATGAAGAAGGATCTGAAGAGATGAAGCATGCATCAGAACCAGGCGCAAGGGACCAGAGAATACAGTGGGTAGTGCACTTGCCTTGCATGCGGCTGACCTGGATTCGATCCCCAGCACCTCATATGGTCCACTGAGCCTGCCAGGAGTGATTCCTGAGGGCAGAGCTAGAAGTAAGCCCTAAGCACAGCTGAAATAGTCCCAAAACCAGAAACAAAAAATGAGTAAATAAAAGAACTGGACTTGACTATTGACTGTGATTTAGGAATTATTTACTGTAGAACTTAAAGTAGCTGTTTAATATGTCCACGATGTTTATGAGAAAGTGAGCAACATGCAAGCATACAGAAGGACCATGGAACAAAGGTGGAAATTCCAAGGCCGCAACCAACATATTAGAAATCAGAAGCACAGTAACACAGATGAAGCGTGTAATTGATGGGCTGGACACAGCTGAGCAAGGAGTCCATGACCTTCAGCCCCAGTCAGTGTGAACTTCCCACACTGAAATGCAAAGGGAAGTAGTAGGAGAGAAAATAAAATATCCAAGAGCTACCGGACAATTTATAAAGGTATAAGGCCAGAGAGAGAGTATAGGGACTAAGGTGCTTGCCTTTGTACATGATTCAGCCTCCAAAACCTCACCTCAGAGCACAGAGCCAGGAGTAAGCCCTGAGCACCACCAGTTGTGATCCCCCAAAGCCAAAAAATAAAATGGCAGCGGGGTATGATTTGAATGCTACATAGAGAAGCATGAAGGAGAAGTACTTGAAATAATAATGGCTGCAAAATTTTTAAAGTTAATGACAGAAAAGAACAGAGCCAGGAAATGCAGACACTGCCAAGCAGTGTAAATATGAAGAAAACAGTTGAATCATACTTCATCAAACTACAGGAAGAGAGATGGTTGGAGAGAAAAAGACATTGGGGGAAATGCCTTGTCTATAAAGGAGCAAGCATTAGAAATGCATCAGATAGAGGTTTACTCCATGGCTTGGAGGCCAGTCACACAGGCTAGGGGAAAAGGCAGCTCAGATAGAGAAAGGAGTACCAAGTAAAGGGTGTTGGGAGGATCCTCCCACGATGGGAGAGGCATGCTGAAAGTAGACTATAGACCGAACATGATTGCCACTCAATGCCTCTTTTGCAAACCACAGCACCCAAAAGGAGAGAGAACAAAAGGGAATGCCCTGCCACAGAGGCAAGGTGGGATAGGGGGGATGAGGGGTGGGGGGGATACTGGGATCAGTGGTGATGGAGAATGGGCACTGGTGGAGGGATGGGTACTTGATCATTGTATAACTGAAACCCAAGCACAAAAATTTATAAGTCTTGGGGCTGGAGCAATAGCACAGCGGGTTGGACGTTTGCCTTGTACACGGCCGACCCAGGTTCGATTCCCAGCATCCCATATGATCCCCTGAGTACCGCCAGGAGTGATTCCTGAGTGCAAAGCCAGGAGTAACCCCTGAGCATCGCCGGGTGTGACCCAAAAAGCAAAAAAAAAACAAAAAACAAAAAAAAATTTGTAAGACTACAACTGTACCTCATGGTGTTTCACTAATAAAAATTAAAAATAAAAAAATGCATCAGAATATTAAGATACTTGCAAGTATCAAGTATCAAGATACTTGCAAGGAGTGATAACAGGGCTACCAGGACCACATTCAGCACCTTTGGGAGGACGTAGGGATGGAATTCACAGCCTTGGCTGGCACTGTTAGCCCCCAACCTTCCCCAGGCCCAGGGGAGTTCATTTTCCTCTCCTGACCATAAGAGACCTTTACCGACTTGTTGAAAGTAAAGAATTAGTAATTCTGACTCCCAATCTTTCTCTAGGTAGTTCGCAGTTTGTGGGGACTTCGTACTGTGCCCAAGTCCTAAATAGATTCTTTGATGTATTCTGTCTTATTTCCCTGTTATTTCACATAGCTATTTGAAAAAATATCTACCCCCCACAAGTGTTTTTTTTTACCCCCCTCCCCACTGGACTTTACAAACAACTGAAGTTCTGTTGTTTTCCTCTGTTTGAAAGTAAAAGCATCAGGTATTTGATGAAAGGAAAGTGGAGGAATTCTGGTCACCTTGTGCAGGTGCATGTCGGTGCACACTGTCACATGCAGTGTGTGAACATGATTGTTTGCTTTGAAACAGGCACGTGGAGGTGCAGGTGTTCGGTGACCACCACGGCAATGCTGTGTATTTGTTTGAGAGAGACTGCAGCGTGCAGAGGAGACACCAGAAGATCATCGAGGAGGCCCCCGGGGTAAGGGTCGAAGAGGCACTTTTACAGCTTCTTGGTAACTCAGTCCTGCTGATTGTCACACCTGAAATCTCTAAAGCTAGTGTGATTCTCCCAGTCACTTCCCAGGATAACAGTGCTCAGCCCCCCCACTACAGAGTGAGAGTCAGGGGGCAGATGCTCTGGGGTCAGCAGACTGAGGGCACAGCCGGGCCACGTTCCTTCTGGTTGGGTCAGGCGGGTCTGCTCTGACAGCTGTCTGACTCACAGTGGGTCGCTGTACAGTGCTTCCATTAGATCTTAAGCTGTGATTGATGGAATGTTTAAGGAATGGCGTCATTAGTTGAATGGCTTTCTTTTTTTCTGGGTGGAGGCCACGCCCTGTCGTGCTTGTGGGGTCAGGGTTCAAACAGGGGTCAGCAGCATGCAAAGCCAGCCAGTGCCTTAATCCCTCTGCAATCTTTCCGGCTCTGAATGTATTTTTGCTGGTTTGGTTTGGTTTGGGGACCACATCCATTAGTGCTCAAGACTTCTTCCTGGCTCTGTGCTCAGCAATCACTCCTGGTGGTGCCAGATTTCAAACTGGGGTCGGCTGCTAGTAAGACTAGCTAATGTTCTAGCTCCTGTGTTGTCTCTCCGGCCCTAAACATATTTTTCTCATGAAGGTAGTTTTAAGTCCTGCTTCAGAAGTTTTATAAAATAGGGCTGGAGCAATAGCACAGCGCGTAGTGCGTTTGCCTTGCATGCGGCCGACCCGGGTTCAATTCCCAGCATCCCATATGTCCCCCAAGCACCGCCAGGAGTGATTCCTGAGTGCAAAGCCAGGAGTAACCTCTGAGCATTGCCAGGTGTGACTCCCCCCACCACCAAAAAAAAAAGCAAAAAAAAAAAAGTTTTATAAAATATAGCCTTCCTGCTTTAGAGGCTATACAGTGAGGAAACAGATTTTTTTTTTTAATTTTATTGAATCACCGTGAGATAGTTACAAGCTTTCAGGTTTGGGTTACAATCACACAATGAACAAGCACCCATCTCTCCAGCAGTGCACATTTCCCACCACCAGTCTCCCGGGTGTACCCCGCCTTTCCCATCCTCCCCCTGCCTCCATGGCAGACATGATTCGCCATAATCTCTCTCTACTTTTGGACATTATGGTTTGCAATACAGACACTGAGAGGGTATCAGGTTTCATCCTTTATCCACTTTCTGCACACATCTCCCATCCTGACCAACTAGAAAACAGATTTGCTCTTTCTGGAAACTCTTGCCCCTCAGAATGAATTGTTTACTTCTTTCAGAACTACCTCTTCATTGACTTAAGATGTTACCTGGGTAGAGGACTTCCCCTAGGATTCCCTTTTTGGGGATTGGCCTTTTGGGGGGGGTTGGGGACTCAGCCAGTGGTGCTAAAGGACCTTGTGGTATCTGAGATCAAACCTGGGGCTCTCACATGCAGAACAATTGAGCCCATCTCCCTGCTTGGGGTTCACATTTCTCTTGATGCTTGATGCTGCCTAGTCCCCTTTCTTGTCCAAGACTCTATGCATAGTTTTGTTTTGTTACTTAAATATGTGTATCAGAAGGAAATCAGAAGTTTCTGGTTAATCAGTATTCAGAATTTAATTTCTCTCTATTACAGAATTTTATTTTTTAAATTTTTTTTTATTTTTTATTCAGAGAATTTATAAATAAAAAATAATAAAGGCCCTCCTGTTGATCATCGATTTGCTCGAGCGGGCCCAGTAACGTCTCCATTGGAGACTTTGTTGTTACTGTGTTTGGCATATCGAATACGTCACGGGGAGCTTGCCAGAGAATTTAATTTCTCTATAGATATACTTTGCATTTGAAACATTAATTTCAAACAATTTTAGTAGAGGCTATTTTCAAGCAGTGAGTGCTTAAATATAAATTCTATAGGTCACTATTTTTTTTTTTTTTGCTTTTTGGGTCACACCCGGCAATGCATGGGGGTTACTCCTGGTGCTGTGCTCAGGAATTACCCCTGGCGGTTCTCAGGGGACCATATGGGATGCTGGGAATCGAACCTGGGTCGGCCGTGTGCAAGGAAAACGTCCTACCCGCTGTGCTATTGCGCCAGCCCCTATAGGTCACTATTTTTAAATGCTGAAAGTCTTGCCTGCTTTTTTTCCTATCAATCTTTTTTCGTGTTAATTTGCAATTTAAAGGTTTACCACTGTGTCAGTTATCAACTTGAAACAAAATAGAGGTCCTTCAAAAGTTTCATATTGCTGCAGGTAACTTTAAGAGGATATGTAAATCATAAAAGTTGTTTTGTGGTACAGAAGACAAAGATAGGTCATTATATTGAGTAATATCTATAAATATAGAAATTGCTGGCAGAGGGGCTGGAGAGATGATACAGTGGGTAGGGTGCTTGTCTTGCATGCAACTAACCTTGGTTTGATCACAACGCTCCATATGGTCCCCCCGAGCACTGCCAGGAGTAATGGCTGAGTGCAGAGCCAGGAATAACCCCCAGCATCACTGGGTGTGACCCAAGGACTTAAAAAAGAAAAAGAGAATTGCTGGCAGAACTATTACTCTTTGGTCAAATGACAGTTAAACTATTGTAAGGATAGTATTTCCTGATGAATTTGCTTTTTATTCTTATATCTCTTTAATACAAGATTTGATACATACAAATGTATATTAGATTTTTTTTTCTTTTTGGGTCACACTCGGCAATGCACAGGGGTTACTCCTGACTCTGCACTCAGGAATCACTCCTGGCGGTGCTCAGGGAAGCATATAGGATGCTGGGAATCGAACCCGGGTCGGCCACGTGCAAGGCAAATGCCCTACCCGCTGTGCTATCTCTCCAGCCCCGTGCATATTGGATTTTAATAGAGACTTCTAGTAAGGCAAGGTACCAGTGGAAATTTATTTTATTTGTTTTTGCATAGCCTGGTATTGAACCCGAAGTGAGGAGAAAGCTCGGCGAAGCTGCGGTGAGAGCTGCTAAAGCTGTAAATTATGTTGGAGCAGGTATGTGACGTTTAGCTTGTGTTGGGGCAGAAGAAAAGAATCATTTATTTATATTTCAAAAGGCAAAAGAAATGTAACCTTACATCACTGCCTTTCAAACTTTTTTGTTACTTTAAGAAATATGTTTTATATCAAGACCCAGAATATACGTATGTTTATCTGTATATGTATTCATTTGGGAAAATATTTTCACTTAAATGATACTTATCTTAATTATGTATAATGCTGTTTTATTTTTTTTTACCATTTTAGAATATAAAAATCACTGAAATTACTTTCCAGCATTTTGGTAATTTTAAATGTAAAGCAAAATTGGATTGAAAGTACAGAGCTTCTGTACTCCCAGAATGCGCATACACACGTTTCCTTCCCACAATCAAAATGGGCAATGTTTGTTACAACTGATGAATCTCACTGATACACTGTTACCACCCAAAAAAACATAATTCCCAGTGGGGCTTCTCTTGGTGGTGTCCGTCAGTTTGAGATTAGTAAAATTGTCACACACAATATTGGCAAGCTCCCCGTGATGTATTCGATATGCCAAACACAGTAACAACAAAGTCTCCAATGGAGACGTTACTGGGCCCCTTCGAGCAAATCGATGAACAATGGGAGGGCCATTATTATTATTATTTTATTAATATTGGTACTTTGATGTTTCATTGCCTCCTTTGTTTTGCCTTTTCCAAAATGTCACAGTTAGATTCACATAGCATGTAGTCTTTTCAAATCAACTTCTTTCACTTTGTGGTATGCATATGTTTTATCCCTGTTTTTTTTTTTAATGACTGAAATAGTTTCTTTTTAGCACCAAATAATGCTTAATTGACTGAATTTTACCATTATTTATTCATCCTCTCATCTACTAAAGGATATCACGGTTGCTTCAAATTCTAACAATTATGAATAAGTATCTATGTTCTAGTTGTATAGGTGTAACTTTTAGTTTATTCTGGTAAACACCAAGGAGGTGTGATTTCCAGAAACTGCCTTCAGTGAGGCCAGACTGTTTTGCATCCCCACTAGCAGCATTCCTGTTGCTTCATGTTCTTAGCAGCATTTGTTATTGTCAGTATTTAAACCATTCAAATAGGTCTGCAATTGTAGCTCCTTGTTTAAATTTGCATTTCCCTAACAACTAATGATCTGAAGCCTCTTTTGGTGCTTACTTGCCCACTTATAGATACTCTGGGCAGAGATGTCAGTTCTGATATTTTTTCCCCATTTTTTTCAAGTTAAGGTTTTGTTTTTTGGGGTTTTGTTTGTTTGTTTGTTTGTTTGTTTTAGTGGGTAGGAAATCAGGCTATACCTGATGGTGCTTAGGGCTTACTTCTGGCTCTGTGTTCAAGGATCACTCTAGGAGATCACACAGGGTGCTGGGGATTGAACCGGGGTTGGCCATGTGCAAGGCTAGCACCCTACCTGCTGTACTATCACTCTTACCCTGTAGTTGAGTTTTAGTAGTTCTTTGTATATTTTGGATAACAGTCTTTTTCCAGACATGTATTTTGAAAACATTTTGTTCAAGTCTGTAGCCTACCTTCTTATTCTTTTAATACTGACTTTCATACAAGCGGCCAACATGGCCGACCCGAGTTCGATTCCTCCGCCCCTCTCGGAGAGCCCGGCAAGCTACCGAGAGTATTCGATATGCCAAACACAGTAACAACAAAGTCTCCAATGGAGACGTTACTGGGCCCGCTCGAGCAAATCGATGATCAATGGGAGGGCCTTTACCTTTACCTTTACCTTTCATAGAGAAGAATTTTTTTCTAATTAATAAAGTACAACTTAAGAATTGGAGAGATAGTACAGTGGGTAAGGTGCCTGCCTTGTACATGGCCAACCCCAATTTGATCGCCAGCATCCCATTTGGTTGCCTAAGCACTGCTGGGAGTGATTTTTGAATTCAGATCCAGGAGTAACTCCTGAGCATCACTGGGTGTTCCCCCAAAGCAAAAATCAATTAGTTAATTAAGTCCAACTTATTATTTCAAGGATAATGCCTTCTTGTTATTTCTAGAAAAGATACTACCAAACCTCTATTGTCATCTGAGCATTTAGGTTTCCTCCATTGTGATCTTCTAGCACTTTTGTAATTTTGAGTTTTACATTTAGGTCCATGATACTTGGTTTGGTTTAGTTTGGTTTTTGGGCCACACTTGCTATGGTCAGGATTTATCTCTGGGTTTGTGCTTTGGGATCCCTCCTGGTGGGGATTAGGGAAAACCATGTGTGGTGTTGGGGATAGAATCAGGGCCAGCTTCATGCTGAGAGAACCTTAACCCCTATACTGCCATGGTCCGTTCTTTTTTTTGGGGGGGAGGGATCGCTCCTGCCACTGCTGAGGGACCATATGTGATGCTGGGGACCAAACCTCGTCAACAGCATGCAAGGCAAGCCTGACCCATCATACCATCCCTCTAGCCCTCATGATCCATTTTGAGTTAGTGTTTGTAAGGGATGTAATGTATGTGACTAGACTGCTTCTGTTGTGGTTGTGTCACTTGTTAAAAAGGTTACTTCTGGGAGGGCCTGGAGATAGGTCCGTAGTAGAGCACCTGCCTTGCAAATGTGAGGCTTGTTAGGGCTGTAATTTTGATTCTTGTCGTCCCTCCACCTTCCGGAGCTCAGTCCCAGGGGCTGTACTGTTCAGTGTCCTGGTCGCAGCAACAAAGTCTGTGATTCTGGGCACAACATATCCAAGCACCTCTACTTAGTGTACGAGTACCACACCCCCTATATTGACAAGAGCCATAACCAAGAACACAGCCCCTCAAGAGCACTGCAGCAAAAAGACCACACTAGAGTGTGACCCACCAGCACCGGTCCTCCCGTTGTTCATCGATTTGCTCAAGCGGGCCCAGTAACGTGTCCATCATGAAACTTGTTGTTACTGTGTTTGGCATATTAAATACGTCACGGGTAGCTTGCCAGGCTCTGCCGTGCGGGCGAGATACTCTCGGTAGCTTGCCGGACTCTCCGAGAGGGGCGGAGGAATTGAACTCGGGTCGGCTATGTTGGCTGCTTGTAAGGCAAACGCCCTACCACTGTGCTATATCTCCAGCCCAACCCACCAGCACCACAGTTGAAAAATTCATGAGCACAAGGTGTCGAGCTAGTACAGGGGTTAGGGCACAGCTGCAAAGTGCTCTGATTGGGTCTGATTCCCAGTACCAAGTGGCCGTCCGAGCACTGCCAGCTACAACCCTGGAGGCGCTTGTACCCCGAGTACAGCCCTGGAGGTCCCGAGCACTGACGAGGCATTTCAGGATGAGCAGTGCACAGCGCTGAACAGTGCACAGCAGGGCCAGCGCTGAACCCGAGCACATAACTACTGGGACAGACTCCCAGTCCTCTGGGCACTGCTGGGGTGCCCTCCCCTTCAAATGAATTTATACAAGTACCATAACCAAGTATACAAGCCTTGCAAGCACCACAATCACGTGCTACAGCCAGATGTATACAAGCATCACAGAAACAGCAGCCACAGAAAGGATGGGGGCAGACAGAGGTTACAACCTTGCCTCCGGGGTGTTGTCTCTGGCCCGTGGTTGCAGATAAGTTGAGTGTATTTATGTTGGTCTATTTCTGGACTCGGTGCTGCTCCAGTGAGCTGTTTGTTCTCTTGCCTGTGCTTCCTTGTTTTGATTACTGTAGCTTCAGGTGACCCTCGAAGTAGAATGATTTTAACCTCTTCAAGCCTGTTACCGTTCGGAGTTGAACGGGCCATTCTGAGTTTTTTTTACCTTTCAACATAAACTTTAGGATTGGCTTCTTTCTGTTTGCAAAGTAGCCTACTGAGATTTTCTCTGGAATTGCATTAAATCTCCAGGTCAAGTTGCCGAGACCTGTTACCTTGACAGTGTTGAGTTTTCTTCTCCGTGACTTCAGTTCTTAGTGTTTCTCCACTTAGTTCGCTCTTCTTTTACTTCCATCACAAGTTTTATAGTTTCCTAATGTCAATAACATTCATGTTTATATTTATACTGGCTTCTCTTTTGGAAGATAGCATAGATGGTATCTTGTTTTTTAATTTCAAATTCTTGTATTCAGGGGCTGGAGCAATAATTCTAAGGGCAGATGCACTTGCCTTGCACTGGTAAATCCTGTGACTAGAATAAAATTTGTTTAAAAAACAAAACAAAATTTAAATAAGAGCTCATTGTTTCATTAAGTTCATTGTGTATTTAACATGGCTCGCCATCCTTCTCCTCTAAAATTTATCCATGACGTGGGCCAGAGTGATGGGGCTTTGGGAGTCCTAAAAATGGATGGATAATTTTAAAAATAAAAAGCATGACAAATTTTTTGAAAGATGAAAAATTTTTAAATTATTAGTATCAGTAAGCTAGTCTCAAAGAATTTTCCATTTTTGTCTGAGAAAGTCTTTTGTTTCATCGCCAAAAAGGGTTTTATAAGGTACAAAATTTTAGTTGGCGATTTTATTTTTTCTACCAGCACTTTATTTTATTTTTTTATTTTTTTGCTTTTTGGGTCACACCCGATGATGCACAGGGGTTCCTCCTGGCTCCTGCACTCAGGAATTACTAATCCTGGCGGTGTTCGGGGGACCATATGGGATGCTGGGAATCGAACCCGGGTCGGCCGCGTGCAAGGCAAATGCCCTCCCCGCTGTGCTATTGCTCCAGCCCCTCTTCCAGCACTTTAAATTGTTTGCTCCACTTTCTTCTTGCTTGCATGGTTTCTGAAAAGTCAGATTAAATTTTTTTTTCTTTTTTTTGCTCGACTTTTTGTGTCAGGCTGGCTTTCATATGTCACCAGATAGAACGCTGAACTCTTCTTTACAGGTGAAGTCGTTTTGTCTTTTTTCAGGATCCTTTCTCCTTTAAAATTTTATTATTTTGGAATTGATACCTTTAGGTTTAGTTTTACTGGTTTTTCTCTTGCTTAGCACTACCTGAGCTTCCTGAAGCTGTGGTTTGGTATCTGACATTAATGTGGGGGAAATTCTTAGTCATTGTTTCAAATATTACTTTGGTTCCCCTCTCCTCCGCCCCCTCCCCCACCATGTCCTCTTTATGTGTGTGTTCCACCTTTTTTAGTTGTAAGTTTTGTATTATGTTTCTTTCCTGATGTTTTTTGGAAGTTTCTGTTTATTATCCTCAAACTTGAAGATTTTTTTTTCCTTGCTTTGTCCAGTTTGTTTAATAAGTTCAGCACGGATATATGTGCATTTAATTTCTATTGCAGTGGGTTTTTTTTCTAGCATTTCTTTTTGTTTTTCTTTGGTTTTCTCTTTCTCTCAATATTCACCTCTCTGCTTATTTTACCTGTTGGTACCTCCATGTTATCTACTATTACCATTATATCCCCTAGCATATTAATCAAACTATTTTTTAGTTCCTGGTCAGATTATTTCAACAACCCTACCATAACTTAAGTATTGCACAGATGTTTTTAAAGTCTTTTCAAACAATTTTTTGGGTCCTTTTTAGTGTCTTGTCGTTATTTTTCCTAATATCCAGGCATGATAAGATGGTTAAAAGGACGTCTGGTACATGGTCCTTGGAGTGGCAGGGTCTGGGGGAAGCATCCTACGGCCCTGTGATTGCATCTGTGTCTTTTAGTGGAATCAAACCTTAACCTGTGAACCTTACCAGTATTTGTTGGTTTGGCTTCAGTTTTAATTTATATTCTGAGGTATGAAAGTATAACTGGAAAGGAAGTGTGTATCCCCTAAGTTGTGTTAATTGATAAGACCAGAGGAGTTTAGGCTCTGGTTATTAGCCTGTAAGGCCATATCTTAAGTACAGAACTCTGTGTACTTTAAATGGCTCCTCTTCCCCTCTGCTGGAAATTCAGGGTATTTTTCTGCAGTATTCCCTTTGAGGATCTGTTAGAGCCCCTAGAAGTGAAATTCTTAAGTTATTTGTTTAGTTTTTCACTTCTTACCAGGAAATAATGGTAACTTCTAAGCTCTTCCCATGCTCAACTAGAAACTAAAAGTCTTTACTCCATTTCTATAACTCTCAAGTGAATTCCCATCCCTAGTTTGAAAAGCAGCTTTACGCAATATGGAATGGACTTTAGCCTCAGTGAAACAGGAAAACCTATAGGATTTCATCCAGATGACATTTTGAAAGCCACTGTGACAGAAAGTAGAACAGTGCTTGCACAGAAACAAGGACTTGAGACAGGGTTGAGCGCCCAGGAGAAGCTGAGAACATTTGTTGGGGGAGGGGGTGGAAATTCTATGTGCTTTCATGGTAGTGGTTGCAGGATTAGATCCCATTGCAAAATCTCTGCCTACCTATGTTTAAAATGGCCCCATTTTATTGTCTTAAATTAGACCCTGTGAAGGTGAGAGAAATTTTGCTTAATAGAATGCCAGTAGGTAAGACACAATGGAAGGGGGTCACTGGCACGTTTTCAGTGGGTTGCGTAGAAGGACCTGTACAGCAAACTGCCCGAAAGCCCACAACTGGGGATGGGTGGGGAATGTCTCTTTTTCTCTGCAAAGTTAGAGGGCAATGGGGTTTTTGGGTGTTCGGTTTACAGGGATGGGGCACTGAAGGGGTGTCGGGTCCGCAGAGATGCTGAACGCTGACGTGCCCTCCACATGGTGCTCTGACTGTGTTCTCTCGCTCCTGCAACAGTCAGCTGGGTCCCATCAGAGCTGCGGCTTACCATTTGCACAGAATCCCAAAAATACTTTTCTGTTGCTAAATTTCATGCAACAGTGTTGTTTTCATAAAATGAAAAGCTTTCAGGGGCTGGAGAGATAGCACAGTGAGTAGGGCGTTTGCCTTGCACGTGGCTGGCCCGGGTTCGATTCCCAGCATCCCATATGGTCCCCCGAGCACCACCAGGAGTAACGCCTGAGTGCAGAGCCAAGAGTAACCCCTGTGCATCACCCGGTGTGACCCAAAAAGCAAAAAGAAAAGGTTTCGCCTAGGTGAGGCAGCCTTGGGAGTTTCCATTTGCTCCTGATCCCGGACCACAGAAGTGAGACCACTGTGTTTTGTCTTTTAGGAACCGTGGAGTTTATCATGGATGCACAGCACAACTTCTACTTTATGGAGATGAATACCAGGCTGCAAGTGGAGCACCCTGTGACGGAGATGATCACGGGAACCGACCTGGTGGAGTGGCAGCTGCGGGTGGGGACACTTGTTTCCTTACAGACCAGCCTTCAGAATCCGTGACTTTATGGTCTCCTAAAAGAAGGTCTCCCCTGAACCCAAGATTGAATTCTTGGTGGTTGTGATGAGGATGGGAACATGGGAGGCTTCAAGGTGACACTGTAATCACAACGGTGATGGTGTTGTCAATTGTCAGATTCAGTCCCGATCTGTCACTTAACCCTAAAAGCCCCGAGGCAGAGGCAGGCAGCAGCTTAGTTGCTGCCTCTCATATCTGCCTCTGACCTCGTTGCCTCCCCCCAGAGCTTCTGATCTGCCAGAGGCCTCATCATCCCGGTTCAGGCCATGCTTAGGTATGAGAGGCAGGCGGTGACTAGCCATGGTGAAACAACCCAAGGCAGCGCCAAGGGAATAGCCTACACCACCAGAGGTGCTAACTTAGACACGCTCGCCCTGAGGTGGGGTAGAGTCGCTGTTCAGAGTCAGTGGTTAGAAAGGTTTTGAGCATGTCACATTAGTGTCCCTGGAACATGCCGAATGTATTTTGCGAAACTGTGACCCTGCACCCTTCCTTTCTTCCTGCTTCTGTGGCTGGGTCGCAGTGGCCAGGGGCTGCAGACATGCTTGATTGTAGGACTCACACACTCTCAGATTGTGCCTCAGGGGGCAGTACCCTGAGCCACAGTGCTCCCCAAAGGCCACGCCCTTTAGTTGTGGGGTGTACGCACACTTGACTGTGGTGTGGCTGGAACTCTCTTGCAGTCTACCTGGGACCTTGCTTGGCACATGCAGGCAGCCAGCCATAGGAATGGAATGCATAAACATTCAACTACTGTGCCTCAGCCCCTGGGCCCTCTCCCCGCCTCCTAGAGCTGTTTCTCTAATGTAGATCATCTGAGAAGTGTGGCCTAAATCAGCGGCACAGAATGTGTTAATTCTAATATTAGTGATAGTCTGTTTTCGTTGCTTCTCCTCCTTTGGTTTTGGGGCCACACCTGGCAGTGCTCAGGACTTACTCCTGGCTATATGCTTGGAGTTTACATATAGCAGTGTTCTGTTCAGGGATTCTATGGGATGCCAGGGATTAAACCTAGATGGCCAGGTGCTCTCTCTCCAGCCCCTGTTTTTGTTCTCTTCATCCAAGCAATAGATTTTCTCTTAGCTGCCTTTGAAATTTAGAGATGAAAAAAAAATGAAGAAATATGAATGTTCCTAATTCTTGTGGGATTTTGGGGTTTTTTTCCTGAATCTAAATTATTTTTTCATGATATGATACTCAAGTTGTGTTATGTTGATAGTTTTGTTTTTGCAGTACTTTTATGGTCAGTGATAGGATGATAATTTTGCTGGTTACTTGGGCATGATAAGTTCTTTAAATAGAGCCAAAATATTCTTGTACCAAAGCCCCTAGAATCCTGATAGCTGGTGAAAACCAGGCACTCAGGTTATTAAGTGTTAGTCTTAGGAAAGCTTGAATGGATTTAGAAACTTCTGAAAAGAGTACTTGTATTTCCAGAATTTATGGGAAAGGAGATTTTTTTTTTCTAAAGCAGTTTCCCAGTGGAGTTCAGTCTTGAAATTATGGAGGATGAAAGATTTCATGGGATGAGGGAAAGAGAAAACTTTTGGACTCTAAGAAATGAGGCAATGGTTATTTTTGTGACTCAATAAATGGTGAGAGCTTTGAAGGCTTTTAGATTTTGGGGAGTCTCCCAGTAGTTATGGAGGAACTAGGGGATACTCCCAGTGATTCTTTTGATGGTTGTACCCAGCAGTGCACTCGCCACTTTGGGGACCAAGTGGTGCCAGGAGTCAAACCCTGACGCCCCACATTCCAGGCGTGGAATTCCATCCCGTTGTGCCCTCTTGCCTACCCTTTGAAGGCTCTTTTGAAAGTGAACGGGGCTTGTTGCCCTGCGGACACTATGGGACTTAGTTGAGATAATTCAAGACACTTTGTCTTTCCTTTTTAAAATACGGGCACTCCCCAAGGGCATGTGGAACTCGGGACATTCCCTGCCACTCAGCCTAGAGGTGCTCACTTCTCTGCAGCGACCAGAGCTACACCTGGCAATGTTGCTGGGGGGTGGTGGGGGGTTGGGGAATGAAGACATGTAGTGCCAGAGATGGGACTCAGGACTTCACATGTTCCTCGCATGTGCTAGGCATGTGCTCTACCACTTGCCCCAGTTCCCCAGCTCCCTGAAAGTATTTTGGACTCTGGCTTCCCAGCAGAAACCGTCTTTTGGTGTGTCAGGTGTTCAAGCGCCACTTGACAAATCAAAGGCAGAACGAGGGTGCAATGAGGCAGACATCCAGCTGGCTTGCGGTATCCGGGCAAAGCTGACGGGAATATTCAAGGGTCAGGGGTCCCAGTGAGTCTGTGGGTAAGACCGAGAGAATGCAGGCGGCACAGATTTCCAGATATAGAGCAAAGTGGAGACTTGCCTCTTCTGAGCTTCGCCGGTTCCAGAAGCGAGAGGAAAGAGGAGCCAGACTGAGACAGGGCTGGGCAGGAGGAATAAGATCGCATCTCGGAGTGTGGACTCCTGGGATATAAAGAATATTTTTTATTAAGGCATTCAAGAGAATTTCACCATGGAGATAAGGATGAGATGTTAAGGCTGGAGAGAGAGCGCTCAAGTGGCAAAGCACGTGTCTGAGTTAAATTTTCAGCTTGTCCTGAGGACAAGCCCTCAGACCAGCTTTGCTGGGAGTAGCCCCTGTTGAAGGGGGAAAGAGCCCGGGATGCAATGAATTAGTAGCTAACACTGACAGCTTCCTCAATGCCAGGCACTCCCTTTTAAAGCATCAAGGGAAGAGAAACTTGCCATAGCCTCTACATGATGAGTAAATAGAGAGAGGGAAAAACAACAACAACAATAAAATTTTGTACCCAGGCAGGGTGGCTGCAGAGTCTGTCATTTTCTAAAGACTTCGGTTTAGACCATTTTTCATTCGTTCCTAACTAGAAGGATTCCTGGATTTTCTTAGTGATAGATTTCAAGAGATGAAGCCTTTGCCTATCTTATACTTGCCTGTTTCAGTTCAGTGTGATGCTAAGTTACTGAAGAGCCCCCACACCAACAAACACACACCCACCCCTTGTATCTTTTGCTTTCTCAGGTTGTCACTTTCTCATCCTGGAGGAAATCATAAGGGGAAAGTAAAGCGAAAGAGTGTCACAGCAAATCCTCCAATAGCCCTTCCCAAATTATACTAGGTGAAGAGAGAGGTTTGTTGTACTGGTACCTAATAACCAAAATAACAATAATTGTGGCAATGATAATATAACGGTGATGATTCTATTTGCAATTTGGTGTCACACACTATACATAAATTGTAGTCAAATTAAAAAATTGTCCTGGTCCCACTTTCTTCTCTCACTTGGTGATGGAATTAAAAAAAAGATGACAGACTGATGCCTCACTGCAGCTCTATCTGTGGGTATGGTCCTATAATGCCAACAAAGACATCGACCAATAATTTATCATAAAACTGTTTAATTTGGGTAACAGTGCTAATATTTAAATGGAAACGGAGAAACTCTAGCTGTGGGTCTGGTCCTACTAATGCCAACAAAGACATCGACCAATAATTTATCATAAAACTATTTAATTTGGGTAACAGTGCTAATATTTAAATGGAAACGGAGAAATTCTAGCTGTGGGTATGGTCCTACAATGCCAACAAAGACATCGACCAATAATTTATTATAAAATTGTTTAATTTGGGTAACAATGCTAATATTTAAATGGAGACAGAGAACATCTTACAGTAAGGAATTTTAGTTTAAACTGAAAAAAATTCACTGATTGTTATAATTCAAGCGGGCCCAGTAACATTGTGAGACTTGTTACTGTGTTTGGCATATCGAATACGTCACAGGGAGCTTGCCAGGCTTTGCTGTGAAGGTGAGATACTCTCAGTAGCGTCCTGGGCTCTCCAAGAGGGGTGGAGGAATCAAACCTGGCTTGGTCCAGTTCAATGACTGAGTTATAATTAAGTCAATGGTTTATCTGCTCTCTATTTTAAAAATCTGGAAGCCCATAGTAATTAGTACATTCTTTTACTCTGCATCCATTTTAAAAGAATTTACTTCTGTTTATGCCCAGTGCTCCAAAGCAATCGGTTCTTAGAAGAACACAAAATTCAAATGTACATTTTATGTGGAAAAAGACAAGCCCATCACGTTTTCTAATCCTCCTTGCAGCTCTCGGATTCTATTTCATGCAACTTCCTCTTTTCTCACCAGGTTGCAGCTGGAGAGAAGATTCCTTTGAGCCAGGAAGAAATCACTCTGCAGGGCCATGCCTTTGAAGCTCGAATATATGCAGAAGATCCTACCAATAACTTCATGCCCGGGGCTGGGCCATTAGTGCATCTCTCCACCCCTCAGGCTGACCTTTCCACTAGGATTGAAACTGGAGTCCGGCAAGGTAAAGTGAAGTGAGCTGAAAGTCGGAGACTGGAGAAATAGTTCAGCAGGGAGGGCACTTGCTTTGCACACGGCTGACCCAGGTTTGAGTCCTGGCACTGCATGTGTTCCCCCAAGTCCTGCCAGGAGTGAGCCCTGAGCACAGAGCCGGGCGTAAGCCCGAAGCATAGCCCAAAAAAGAAGTACAACCTAACAGTCTGAGTATTGTGTGGTGTTTTGTTAAAGGGCCACACCCAGTGACACTCAGAGGGCTCTGTGGTAGCAGGGATAGAACCTCACCTTCCTGTTTTCCAAGTGTATGTTCAGCCTGTTGAGCTCTGGCTGGCTCAAGTCTGAGATTTTTTTAAATTTTTTTCATGCATTCTTATGTTTCTATAGATGAAATTTTCTGTGTTTCTTGTGGGAACATCTACCTTTTTTTTTTTGCCAGTTGATTTTTTTTTAATTTAATTTTTATTTTTATACATCTTATTTTCATAAAGTAGTTTACAATAGTTCATTACAGACAATATTCAAACACCCAACCAACCAGCAAGCATCTTCCCACCACAATAAGAGGGAAGTGTATGAAGGTGGTTGTATTTCATTCTGGAGCCATTTAAGCCTGTGTATACAAGAATACAAGTATACAAGAATACAAGAATACAACTATGTTAAAACCAAACACACGTGTGCTACTTTAGGCATATCAGTGGGCTAGAGTGAAGAGGTCTAGCTGAATTTGCCGCTGCACGCCAGGAAATCGCTCTCTTCCAGGAGCTTTATTTTATAGTCTCTGGATCTTGGCCGTTGATGAGATTGCATGGTGCCAGGGGCAGTTTGTGGATGTGACTGCCAAGCTACTGGAAAATTGGGGAGCTGTGGGGAGGCGGCCCAGTCCTGTACTGAGCAGTCTTGGAGATCTCAGCCACGGGTCCCATATACCTGGACTCATCTGTCGGTTCCCTCAGGCGTGAGGCTCATCCGAGTGTGTGGAGAGTGGCCTTGAGCATGGCAGCAGCTGGAATCTGGAGGTTTTAGGCTGCCAGGGCTCTGCTTGGAGCAGGGAGGGAAACTCAACCCGCCCCACTCTGAGATGCCCCGGTGAGGACAGCCAGGTGTGGGGTCAGGAGATTCTACCACCATTTTCAAATAAAGGGTCTAATTGGTGTCTTATTAATCTCTATTGAGGCAATGGTTTATAAAACTACCAGTGATTGCATTATGGGTACAGTGTGACCATACTACACCCAGCACCAAGCTTCCAGTGTCCCTACACCAGAACTCACTGGGCCTCCTCCCTTCTTTCAGCACCTGCTGACCTTTGGTCTAAGGATTTGCTTTCCTTGGACATTGTCTCCTTGCTTTATGTTTCTTTATATCCCACCTGTGAGTGAAATGTTCAATATTTGTCTTTCTCCTTCTGACTTATCTCACTTATCTTGACCCCCTCCAGTTCTATCCATGTTATAACATAAACCGCAAAACTTCCCCTTATGTAAGTGTTAATATTAACCCCTGGTTTTTGACAAAGAAACTAGGCACAGAAAAGTTAAGTGACCTGGGGCCAGAGTGATAAGGTAGGATGTTTGCCTTTCCTGTGGCCAACGCAGGTTCACTCGGTCCCATATGGTTCCTTGAGCCTACCAGGAATAATTCCTGACGGCAGAGCCAGGAGTAACTCCTGAGTGTTCCCGGCTGCCATTTTAACCTTTGATCACAGAGGACTCACCAGCTGGTGAGGGCTGAAACACAGCAGTTCTCAAGCTACAAGGTGATGGAGACACAGTTCTAAAAGGAAGTCTCGAGTGGGCCTTTCTAACAGTGGAAAGGGAAGGATGTTAATGCAACCCTTTGGTTTTATCAGTTTTAAAACTCTGGGGTTCAGAAGGTTCAAGTGACCTTCCAAAATCACAGCACTTTCTTTCAAACATTATTCATTCTAAGATTCCACGTCCTTTGGAACTATTTTCAGCCAGTGAGACGGAGGCACATCCTCTAGACAGAGGCACAGGTCCTTGTTCACTGAGACTGCCATCGTCGTGATCACTGCCATTTGTTTATTGAGCTTGGCAGATATGACTCTTGGCACTTTGTTATATATCCTCCCGACAATTCTCCAGGGTAGAGAAGTGATCACCCTTATTTCACTGATGAAACGGAGGAGTCGGAGGGAGGAGAATGCCAGGCACAGAGGTGCAGATGATCTGGAAGTGTAGAGAGAGTTTATACTGACTTCTGCAAAGGGAAGAAAAAAGAAGATGGAGCAGAACATGGGGTGGGGGAGAGTCAGCCTGTGCCTCGGTGAATTGCCCACAGTAGGCCCAGGTACCCGAGATCGGCTGCATCTGCCTTAGACTTGGAACAAGTTTGCGAGCCCCTCTTCAGGTTCCCATAAATGGAAGTGACAATGAAACTGTCATCCGGGAGTTGGTAAGCATTAAGCGTGAAATGTACCAAAAGTCCCGCTGAGTATAGCTGGTCATAACTTATCCCTTGAAATTTGGAGAGGAGGGTGTTCATTTTTTTTCTCCCTGTCCTTCCCTGTGCCACAGTCTTGGTTCGGCTGGGGTGCACTCTTTGGTTTGTTTTTTTTTTTTTTTTTGGAGGGTGCCACACCCAGGGTGCTCAGGGGCTGTTCTTGACTCCGTGCTCAGTACTGACTCCTGGAGATGCTCGGGGACCACAACACAGGCCTAAAAGATGCAAGGCATGTGCCCTGACCCCTGTCCTGTCTTTCTGGCCCTCCCTTTTAGTTTTTTTGTTTTTTTTATATTTTTTTGCTTTTTAGGTCACACCCGGTGATGCGCAGGGGTTACTCCTGGCTTTGCACTCAGGAGTTACTCCTGGCGGTGCTTCTGGCGGGGACCATATGGGATGCTGGGAATCAAACCCGGTCGGCCGCATGCAAAGCAAAAACCCTACCCTGATAGCTGTGCTATCACTCCAGCCCCACCTCCCTTTTAGTTTTGACTTTGACAGACTGCTGTGGCTTTTCCATTGCAGGAGATGAAGTTTCGGTGCATTATGACCCCATGATTGCGAAGCTGGTTGTCTGGGCTGCGGATCGCCAGGCGGCCTTGACGAAACTGAGGTACAGCCTTCGCCAGTACAATGTGAGTCAACCGGGGTCTCGTCTATGACCCCAAAGCTCCCTGTATTTCCACCACTGAACTGTCCCAGTGGATTGAGCCAGCCTTAAATGGCCAAGCCTTTGCAGGTTATCTTCATAATACCATTTGTCCATATTTCATAGAGTAATTTCATTCTGGGGAGTTTCTCATGGGTCAGAAGAGAGCTGAAAACATCTGGATTTTAATTAGGAAAAATAAAGGCTAAAACAATTAGCCTCAATGTAAACAGCAGTTACCCATGTGTGCCTACAACAAAAAGGCATTTTTTTTTCTCCCAGAGAAATTATGGGGAGCTAGGTAGTACAGTGGGCAGGGCATTTGCCTTGCACGCTGCTGACCTAAGTTCCATTCTTGATACCTCATATGGTTCCCCAAGCCCACCAGGAGTGATTCCTAAGTGCAGAGCCAGGAGGAAGCCCTGAGCATATCCAGGTGTGGTCCACAAACAAACAAAAAGAAAAATCATAACCATGTTCAGTTTCATCTATTTGATAAACTTTGTTCCTTTTTTGCAGCCCATTAATCTCTTTGGTGCACTGAATTCCATAGGATGCTGATGGAGCTTAAGGGAAGATTTCTTATTAGCTTGTGATAAATTGTAACGTACCATGTGATAAATTGTTATTATTGAACCTGTGATCAGCTACTATTTAAATTATTGTGTTACTAACTGATCAAGCTTTTTCTGAACCTGGTTTCCTTCCCATTCCTTAGACACCTGCACCGAGCTGTTCTGAGTCTCTTGCAGAATGTTCTTTGCCCTCATAATTTTGGGTGCCCTCCTGATGTTCTTCAGTACCAGTTCACCTCCTTGGAGTCCCCTCTGGACCATCCTCTTTAAATAGGGTGAATTTAGCCAGTCTGAATTTTCTTCATAGTCCCTGGTGTTGGGCTGGAGCCATAGCACAGTGGGTAGGATGTTTGCCTTGCACATGGCCGACCTGGGTTCGATTCCTCCATCCCTCTTGGAGAGCCCGGCGAGCTACCGAGAGTATCTTGCCCGCACCGCAAAGCCTGGCAAGCTCCCCGTGATATTTTTGATAGGCCAAACACAGTAACAAGTCTCACAATGGAGACATTACTGGTGCCCACTCAAGCAAATTGATGAACAATGGGAGGACGGTGTTGCAGTGCTACAATCTCATATTAGAGATATATGTTTGTTACTGTCCCCAGCCTCGGTGAGAACAAGAATCTCATCTATTTTGTGTCCCTAGTATCGAGATACCCAGCTTACCTAAAAGTAAATAGCTTTTAAATAAATGTGTGGATAAAGGAGTAAATGAATAAAGCTGAGAATCAGTTGGTTTTATTTTATTGAATAGATTTCCCCCCCGGTATGTGTGTGTGTGTGTGTGTATGTCTGTGTATCTGTGTGTCTATGTGTTTGTGTGTGTGTTTGTTTGTGTCAGGGGTCGAACCCTTATATGTGCAAAGCATGTACTCTAACACTGAAGCTCATTTTCAGCTCTAATAACTTCTTAAAATTTTTATATCAGGGTATAAATTTTATATTTTATGTCAGAAGGAAACTTTTTAGAGGTCTCTCTTCTTTTTTTGGTTTTTGTTTTGTTTAGTTTTGAGGCCACACCTTGCTGTGTTTAAGGCTTACTCCTAGCTCTGCACTCAGGGATCACTCTTGGCAGGGGTAGGGAGACCATATGTAGTACCAGGAATCAAACCCAGGTTGGCCTTGTGCAAGTCAAGCACCCTTCCCACTGTCCTATCACTTAGACCCTAGAGGTCCTTTGCATTTTAGCAATCCTGCCTGTTTTGCAATCTTCCTGTTTTTGTGGAATGATTCTGTGTGGCAGATCCATCCTATTTTGCAGATACCATTTTGTTTCTTTAACAGTTATTTTCCTGAGTAAATTGAATGTCTTCACACTACCTAGCCTAACCCTTTTCACCTTACCTTTTCAACATTAAGTCCATATATATACACACTGTACTATCTCGCTCCCCATAATTACTTTATTTGGGAGGGAAAAAATGCCATTTTGTTGTAGGCACACATGGGTAAGTGCTCTTTACTTGAGGCTGATTGTTCATATATAGTTATGTATATAATTGTTTTATATATAATTGTTATATATATTGAAATGAGCTTTGTTATGTTTTCTTAATAATCTTTGTGATTATTAAGCACACCCAACTGTGCTGAGGACTTACTTCTAGCTCTGAGCTCAGGGAATACTCCTGGCAGAATTGGGGGTGCATATGTGTGTTGGGCATTGAACCCGGGTCAGCTCTGTGCAAGGCAAGTGCCCTACCCACAGTATTGTTGCTTCTTCGGCCCTATCTTTATGATTTTCCAAAAAGAATTTTATGGATACTAAAGTTTGGGTTTTACTTTTAAAGGAGTGTGTGTGTGTGTGTGTGTGTTGCTAGAGACTGAACCCAACCCAGGGCCACATATTTATGAGGCCACACTGAACCCCAGTTCCCCTGTTTTCCGTCTGGTTTTTGCTGTTGTTTTTCTGAGTGTGTCCTTAGAAAACAGCATTTCACTGAAGGAGCAGGCCCCGTAGACAGGGTTCTTCCAACGTTCGTTTCCCCACACACCAGGAACATGAACTCGATTCTCTTCCTAGATTGTGGGACTGCACACCAACATTGACTTCCTGCTCAGCCTGGCCAGCCACCCCGAGTTTGAGGCTGGAAACGTGCACACGGACTTCATCCCCCAGCACCGGGAGGAGCTGCTGCCCAGTCGGAAGGCGGGAGCCAAAGAGCTCTTATGCCAGGCAGCTCTGGGCCTCATCCTCAAGGAGAAAGCCGTGTCCGATGCTTTCAGAACACAGACTGAAGGTGAGGAATTCTTCGCTCTTTCCTCAGCTCACCCAGATTTCCGTTCGTCTGCTTGTCTTACCTCAGCCACCCCTGCCTCCCTCTTCTCCTGGGATCGACACCATTCTCTGCCATGTTCTAGTATAAAGAAGAACTTCATACATCATGGCTAAACACCTTTTAGCCCACCTAACCATGTCGAGGTGGATCTTTATAGCCCGTATCCTATGTTCATTCCCTTCTTTTACTCACCTTATTTGTCTCTCCTGGCCTGGCCTGCTTTATGATAGCCTCAAAACCCGAGGCAACTTCCTTAGCAATGGAGACTCACATTCCCTCGGGCTACCCACAGTTAATGGTCGAGCTACTTCCTTTTTTATCATATGATCAAGTTTCAGCCAGTTCTCCACTAGAAAGTTCTTGCCTCTAAATTGAGCCAGAGCTGAGCTCTCACTTCAGTTTACACAGGCTAACTCTGACCTTTACAGCAACTAGAAGAAAAGAGTTGAACCCTTTTATCACTTTATGATTAGGATGATTGTGTTTGCCTGTACTGTTATGGGATCTTGTTATTTAATTTCTGGATTTATTCAAGCATGTTATATATGTGTAAAGCCCAAAATGTATAACTACGTCTGGAGCTGAAGATGTAGGTTAGCAGTAGAGAACTTGCCTTATATGAGTGCGTCAGGCCCTAGATTCAGTACTCAGCAGTAAAGCAGGGGTGGGGTGGGGAAAATCAAAAACAAAAGCTGTACGGTTACTTTTTTTTTCTTTCTTTTTTTTTTTTTTTTGGTTTTTGGGCGATGCTTGGCAATACTCAGGGGTCACTTCTGGGGCTCTGTACTCAGGAATTACTCCTGGCAGTGCTTAGGAAATCATAATGGGGTGCCAAGGATGGAACCCAGATCATCGCTTGCAAGGCAAGTGCGTTGTCTGCTGTTCTATCTCTATGACCCCAACATCTTTTTAGGAGACTCATGCTCATCCTCATTCTGTCCTTCCACGTGATGAATTGCATCAAATATGCCCTGTGTGGTATTCCGGGGCCTAATTTAGTGTTTTCAGAGTAGATTATTGTGAGTTTCAAAGAAAAAGCGTAGGCATGCGCAAGACTTGAGTGCTCGGTGGCTAAGAGCTGCCTCCCCTGGCTGGACAATGGTGAGGGATGGATGAAGGACCGGGGGAACAGAGAAACTGGGCCCGGGCCTCAGGCTGGTTGGTAGACAGTTTATTTCTCTCTCCTCCCTAATGTAGTCCGATCTCTCCCCTTATGGAGCAATCATAGTCATAGTTTTGGTTGTAGTCCCAGTCATCATAGTTCGATCATCATAGTCTCCTCGTAGACCTCAAAGTCCTCTCTTTCATTGTATATTCTTCCCCATCTCATCATAGTCTCCTAGTCCTCTACTTCAGCCATCATCATCATCTAGTCCCCATCCAGGCCTCACAGACCCACTAGTCCTCAAAGACCTCAAAGTCACAAAAGTCTCAGCTCTCATCCTCCCATCTTCCCCCTTACAGCATACTTAGATAGGAATCATGAAGGGCGGGGGGTACACATAGGTGGGTTTGAACATTGTCATAACAACAGACAGAGGTAAAGTCACTCCTTCAGGGGAAGTGCGAAGAGATTAACTCAAGGGCAAAATCTTGTCAGAGGGTTTTGCACAAGGGATTCCATTCAGAGTGCATTGCTTTCTCCTTTCCTCAGCTCGTAATCCATTTAAACAATCATCATCAATTTACTTCTTTTGATATTCCTAGTCATTTTGCATGAACACAGTAAGAGATATATTAAGCTTAAAAGTTGACTCTCCCTAGGGACATCTCTCTATATACCCCAGACTACAGTCCTCAGGCCAGGTTAGTCTTTCCTAACTCCAGCAGAGTCCTTCTTCAGTTACTTCTTTGTGGGTCATGACAGAGTTTGTCCCATGACCATGCTCTTAACTTATTATACTTTGGGTGCTTAGCTTGTCTCCTCTCAATGCCAGGGTAGCTCACAGCTTGCCCTGGGTCCATCCAGTCCCTTCATTGGGATTCTGCTTTTGGAGTGCTAGGAACTAAGGGCAACTGAGACTTAAGTCAAGTAAATATAGATGGATGCCCAGGAGTAAATATTATTTTGGAGTAAAGAAACTCCCCTGTCACAAAGGCATAGCACCAACTGTCTTCCTGTGTCTATACAAAAAGGACATTGCTAAACCATGCAAGTGGCATAAAAGAAAAAGAAAAGCAATACAATTATTAGTGCTTAATGGAATTGGGTGTGCCTCAGGGCACTGTTGTGGGAGTAGCTCAATAAACCTAAGCTCCCTGTGTGAGGAGCAAGGACAACCCAGTGACTCTTGTCCTCACCTGTCTTTATTCTTTAATTTAAATGTGTAATTGGCACAGAGAGGAGCTTCAGAAAAGACTTCTATTTAGCTATACTGTAGCTCCTGGATATTGATGAGCAAAGGTTGTACATTCATGCCTATGGACTGGACCAGGAGTGTATATGGCTAAAAAAAGCCAGGGAAAAGAAAAAATAAAGTAGTAAAGGGTAGAGATCTGGTGGCCTGTAAAATAGTTGTTCTGTCCGAAAGGGTAGATCATTGTGCAGTGTACGCCACCAGAGGATGGTTAAGCTGCAAATACTCAGATTTTTTAAATTTTTTTAAGAAAAGCTGGGATTTTTCATATGGAATTTCCTGAGCTGGAAATGTAAGTACAGGTTTCCTCCACTCCCCAAAAGTGACAGCGCCTCCTGTTTGGTATAATTCGATAGGTTATTTTTGGGAATGCTATTACCATTTGATTTATATGGAAAAAACTTGAGCCTTCTCAAACCCCAAAAATAGCTTATCATATCACACCAAATAAGAAAGTTCTACTTTTGGAGAGTGGGGGAAACCTGTTTCTGATTTAAATTTTGAAAGATGAGAACAAGAAAACCATATCTGAGCTGTCAGCGTAGGACTGTGCTCTCTGCTTTCTTTCGTAAGGTATAACTCCGGTGGAGTTGACGTTCATAAATTTGTCATTGAACTTTCTTTCTAGATCAGTACTCTCCATTTGCATCCAGCAGCGGAAGGAGACTAAACACCACTTACACCAGAAATATGACTCTCAAGGATGGGACAAACAGTAAGTGTTATGTCACTAAAAGGGAAACATGATTCACTTTACATTTATGTAATTAAAATAAAGAGAGAGATCAAGCCCTGGGCCCTAACCAGAGGTGGGTAGAGTACTTGATTTGGATGTGGCTGACCCTGGTTCAATCCCTGGCATCCCATACAGTCCCAGGATCCCACCATGAGTGACCCCTGAATGAAGCACCACTGGGTGTGACCCCTAAAATGAAGCAAAGGAACTGGAGGGATAGTACAGTGGGTAGAGCACTTGCCTTGCATGCAGCCAAACTGGGTTTGATTCCAGCATCCCATATCGTCCCCCAAGCACCTCCAGGAGTAATTCCTGAGTTCACAGCCAGGAGTAACCCCTAAGCATTGCCGGGTGAGACCCAAAAACAAAAAACACCCAAATAAATAAATAAATAATAAAATCGCATTGAAGGAAGCATGCCTACATAGTAGAATTGAATTGGCTGTGGGTAGTGAAGTTAATGGTATTTATTTTTTTCTTCTTTATGCTTTTTCTTATATTTTAGAAATATTATTTTTAAATAATATCATAAAGCACATATATAGCAAAATACTTGAAATTAAAGGGGTCAGAAATGGAAGTGAGTTTATCATTGGAGTGACTTTTTAATGTGGCCTTTCTCTGTCCTCTTTTCTTTATATATATATATATATATATGTATATGTACATATATATGTATATATCCATATTACCAGGCATGGCCCAACATTCCCCCAAATATATATATTTGGCTGGAACGATTGCAGCTGGGTAGGGTGTTTGCCTTACACGTAGCCGACCCGGGTTCAATTCCTCCACCCCTCTTGGAAAGTCCAGCAAGCTACCAAGAGTATCCCGCCCACACGGCAAAGCCTGGCAAGCTCCCCATGACGTATTCAATATGCCGAAAACAGTAACCACAAGTCTCACAATGGAGACAATACTGGTGTCTGCTTGAGCAAATCAGTGAACAATGGGAGGACAGTGCTACAGTGGACAGTGCAACATATATATATATATATATGTATATATATATATACACACACACACAAACATACACATATATATTTATATATATTTATATATATTTATATATATATATATATATTTGCTTTGTCATTTCTCCTCAGGTAAAATATATTACATTTAAATCAGAAGAACACTGGGGCTGGAGAGATAGTACAGGGTAGAAGGCCTTGCCCTTGCATCCATGAACCTCGGTTCAACCCCCAATATCACAGATGATCCTGAGCACTGCCAGGAGTGACCTCTGAGCACAGAGCTAGGAATAGCCGTATTACCAAGGCATGGCCCAAAACTCCACCAAAGAATGAAAAGCAATCCCCAGAATTTCTTGCAGAAGGGAGGAGTATTATTCACTTCTCAGGCAGTGTTTCTGGTGACGTGAGTCGTGAAAAAGCTGTAGTTTATTAAGCACCTTCACGATCATGATCATCCTGTTGTTCGTTGATTGCCTCGAGCAAGCACCAGTAACGTCTCCTTCATCCTAGCTCTGAGATTTTAAAAGAGCCATATTCACTGCTCTTTCAGGGTTAGGAGAATGAGACCCATCATTGTTACTGGTATTTGGCATATTGAGTACAACACGGGAAGTTTGCCAGACTCTGTTGGGCGGGCAGGATACTTTTGGTAGCCTGTCGGGTTCTCCAAAGGAAAAATGGATAGTCTTCCGGGAGCTGGGTTTTTATAGTCTCTGTGTCTTGGCCGTTGATGGGACCAATCTTGTGCTGACGGTAGCTGGTGGGTGTGACGCCTACCTACTGGAAGATGGGGGATCTGGGTAGAGAAGGCCCAGTCCCAATCCAAGCAGGCTTGGAGATCTCAGCCCCGGGACCTGCATGCCTGGGTTCCTCTGCCAGTTCCTTCAAGCATGAGTCTTGTCCGGACATGTGGAGAGTGGTCTCAGCATGGCTGTGGCTGGTTCTGGAGGTCTTTGGCTGCTGGGGCTCTGCTCAGGGGCTGGGGTGGGGGGAAGGGAAACTTAACCCATCTCCCTCCAAGGGGCCCCCGGTGAGGACAGCCAGGCACGGGGGCAGGAGACTCTTAAGCACCTTATCACCCGTAAATTCTCATTTTCCCACCAACTCTGGAGAGTCACCAGAATCAGCCCCGAAGGTCCAGTGGCTCCGTCAATGCTGTGAGTGGCTCTTTCTCCCCTTGCCTCCTGCCAATCCTGCCAATCTTCCCAAGGCCGTTGATTTTTTTTTTTCCCCAAACCAATTGGAATGGGTTCAGAGGGAAGACTGGTTTATTGTAACTGAAGCCAGGGGAGGCAGGAGGGATTTTATCAGTCTGTGACTGGAGCAGTGTAGCCGAAGGAATGCAGTCTTGGCTAACTGGTGACAGTGTCCCTTCTGCCGCAGGTTGACTTGCAGAAAGTCCTGTGGGAACCAGTTTAGTGAGAACAGAGGGAATTGCCTTGTAGGTGAGGTGTCACTGAGTGGTGGAAACGCCATTGTCCAAAAATGTGCCCACCGGGTGGGACAGACTCCTGCCAACATATTCTTCCTCCCTTGCCAGAGTAGCCTCACCCAGCCTTGCAGGTACTCACTCATACCTGAACCAAACCCTTGCTCACGAGTTGTTTGTTAGTTAATGACCCTTTAGCTAATTCCTCCTGAGCCGAGATGTTCATTACCTCTGGAGGTTGGTGCATCTTGAAGCCTTCAGGCTTTGTCTAGAAACTTTGTAAACACCCGATGCTATAATAGCATTCTATAGCTGGCTCACCCATTCCTGTGTGGCTGGTGTCCCTGTGCATCTCATTCTGCAAAACAGCCTCCTCAGGCTGAGAGTATCTTATTCGAGACCTCTTGGTTGTTGTTACTTTTTTTGGAGGCCACACACAAAGGTGTTCAGGGCTCACTCCTGGCTCTGTGCCCAGGGGTCACTCCTGGTGGTGCTCAGGGGACAGTATGGGATGCTGGAGATGGAACTCACGTCGGCCACCTACAAGGCAAGTGTTGTCCTTGCTGCATTATCTCTCTGGTCCTCGTTTTACTCCAGATTTCTACCTTCTGATTACAAGTAGCAGCTACCGAAGTTTCTGTGACTTCTTCAGCCAGAATTAAACAGAAAAAATATTGGTCTTTGGTTTTGACACACCCTGATTGACCTTCAGGGTCAGGGGATTGAGTCGGGCACATGCCTTGTATGTGGGAGGTGCTGGGTTTCTCCCCGGCACCACAAAATGAGGACATAAATTAAAATTTTAAATTAAATTTAAATTCAGATGACCCAGTGGTTGTTTTGACATGGTTCTTCACCGAGGCACTGAATAGGAGTTGAATTATACTCTACTTCTTGGAATTTTTTGTAATTAAAAAATAAAGAATTGAAAAGCCCACAGCAATATTGTTGGCTATACCCGTGTCTCATCGTCCTTCAAAAACACGTCTGCAGAGAGGTCAGGTGCCAACACACAAAGCTGGATGCGTGATTTGAATGTGGGAGCCACGGGTTCGATTCTGAGGACCCCTGGGAGTGGCCCCCGAGCTCCGCCACATGGCTCCTTCCCAGTTGATTTTTTAAATTTGAATACAGCGACTTTGAGCTACATCCTAGTGAATCTCTAATGAATGTGAACCCAACATCAGCTGTGGCCGAATAAGGAAGCACACCACGAAGCAAACCCTCAGGCCCAGAGCAGTGATGAATCTAAAGTAAATATTCAAGACAGGAACAACATTCTCCCTTACTGGCAGCTTGTTCTAACCTCAGTAATAATAATAATAATATTAATAGCTAAGAATGAGTACTGGGTTTATGGCAGATGCTATACTTAAGTACTTACTGTAGACTGTTTTATTTGAGTTTTCAGAAAAATAATGCCAGTGTTACCATTGATATCAACTTTATTAATAGAGAACTAATATATAGAGAAATTATTAATTTTGTTTTTGTTTTGGGGCCATACCTGGCAGTGCCTAGAGCTGACTTCTGGCTCCGCACTCAGGGATCACTCCTGATGGGGCTTGGAGGACCATGCCAGGTTCCAGGAATCAAAGACGGGCTGGCTATATGTAAGGGAAGCACCCTACCTATTGTACTGTCACTCTGGCCCCAGAGAAATGAGCAACTTGTAGAAATTGTTATGGGATCACATCTGGTCATGTTCAGAAACTGACCCAGCCAGCAGTGATGGAGTTGGAGGGTGGCTTGGGCCACACCTATTGGTAGCCAGGGGTCACTGGTGCCAGGGATCAAATCCAGGGTCTCTCACATGCAAAGTATGTGCAGTAGCACTTAAACCACACCCCTGGCTCCAGGAGTTTTCTCCTCCGCTCCCCCTTCCTCCCTCCCTCCCTCCCTCCCTCCCTCTCTTCTTTCCTTCCTTCCTTCCTTCATCAAACCTAGCTGTGCTCGGGAGCTGCTCTGGGGGAACCCCTTACGGTCACTCTCCATAGTGCCAATGGTACAGAGCTGTGCTGGGGGTTGAGCCTGGGCCTCCTACCTCCAAAGCTGATGCTTAGCCCTGGTCATCTCCGCAGCCCGGCCCAGTACTTTTCACACCAATAATAAATGAGAAAGCCAGATTTGCGATGTGCCTCTCCGGGGTCCTGGTGCGCACCTACGCCTCATTATACTAAACTCCCATCATGTATTAAATAAGTGTTTCAGTTCTCTGGTAGAGTCATCAGCTACCTCCATGCAGGAGCAACTCATTCATTCCCCCTTTAATGTAGGAAAGAATTTTCCTTGCAACATCTGCTGACATCCATATAGGTAACTCGATGCACCTCTTTTCAGAAGTTAGGAATATTGACAGGAAATAGGGTGGGGAAATTGAATTCATCTACACTTCCAGTACAAAGTTTTTGTTTTAAAAAAAAAAAAGGATATTCAGAAAAAAAGGAAGAAAAAAAGATGTGTTGGTGGTCCCAGTTTTGGTTTCTTTGGAGGTTGTGACTGTTTGACACAGGACAAGTCTGTGTACAGGAAGGTTGGACAGCTGCAGCCAGGACAAGACAGGCCTTGGAGTTAGAGTGTGGGCTTGAATTGTGCCTCTGTTTGTCTCCTGTGACCTGTGCATGAATCATTTACTCTCCAAGCCCCAAGTGTCCACACCCAGAGGGTAATGGGTTGTTGTGGAATCTGTCCTTGGGTTGTTGTGGATATTAAATGAAACATTACATCTACAAAAAGCAAGCAGTTCAGGAGCACTGACTTTCATCACTTGGTGGCGGAGGGTGTTTGGGCTACACCCTGTTGTAGCTTATTCCTCGCTCTGTGCTCTGGGATCATTCCAGACAGTGCCTGGGGGAGAGCAGAGTCAGCCGTATGCAAGGGAAGTGCCTTCATCCCAGGACTATCTCTCCAGCTCATCATTACCTGTTTAAGTGTGCCCTTACAGCTACTGAAAGAACAAAAGTAGCTGTGTATGTCTGTGTTAATGAAAAGTTGGCTGCGGAACAATCCATGTAACAATATCCAGTTTGCCCAAAGGAAAATAAGCTTATACATTTTAACAGCTCTCAAGGTTGCTCATGGAAATATTGATAGCAGTCACATCGAAGACCAGAAACTTCAGGTCCAGAAGCTTTCACAGTGTTTTCAGTGGTTGACTTCTATGAAAATTTATTTTTGCAGCTTTTTAAAACAACTGATGAGGAGAAAAATCACCCTGTCATAAAACTTGTTGAGGAAGGCTGAGGTTTGGAAACAGGTTTGAGGTGACACTGTCAAAATAACTGTTTGAAGTGCCAGGGAGTAGAGGAAATTGCTTTGATCTGTATTGTTTCCCCCAGAGAACTCCTGTTTTCCACTTCATAGGATAGTCTTCAACTAATTCTGTATTGACACAATAATTAGAATATGTTGTAGTTCGTAGTTTGTTGTTATTTATGAAGCACTTTTTTTTAAGATTTTGGGGCCACGCTCAATGGTACTTGGGGTCTCCTAGCCCATTGCTTGAGCTCACTCCCAGTGGTGCTCATGGGACCACTTGATGCAGAACTCAAACCCAGAGCTCTGGCATGCCACGCATGTGCTCTGGCCCATTGAGCTTCCTCCCTATCCCAGAACTTTTGCTCTTTATCATTGTTCCATTCTTGTGGCCATTGGCTGATCTGAATAGATCAAAAAATTGACTTAATTTTAAGTGACTTAATCAAGATCTAAGAACTGATCATGCCACAGACAGCAGCCAATTTAGTACTTAACCAGAACTTTTCTTTCTTCATTACATTTTCTACTATAATTCTGCTGCATTTCTTGTTGGAAAAAAAAATTTAATGTCCTATGATCTTTATGGAGCCAGAAGGTAGTACAGCATACAGTGCGCTTGCCTTGCACATGGTCGACCAGGTTCGATCTCTGGTATCACATATGGTCTGTTAAATCTAGATCTTTTTATTTTAATTGCCAGGAAGCAACAAGATACTGAAACCCCTAAGAGCTAGTTATCTTTACATTTAAAGTAAGATTTGGGGTCATTGAGTAAAAGAATGTTTTCTAATTTTTCTTTAATTTTTCCCCTTTTTCTATAAAGATGTAGCCATAGCTGTAACATATAACCATGATGGGTCATATAGCATGCAGGTAAGCCTTGGTTTTGTTCTTCAGTTCAGACCTAAATCTGATCTCGCTCATGCTGAATAGGGTTGCTTTGTTGTGTTTGTTCTTGCACTATGGTTTCTCTTAATCCACACACAATTATAAGTAGAGTTAGGAGAATTTATTTGTACTTTTATTTCTGACTTGTCGAAATATTACCCCTATAAATATTCTGATTGTGTATTCATTTTGACTACATTCTCCTTAAAAGTAGAAGTTCGACACCCTCCCTCCCCCCCCACCCCCACCCCACACACACATTAAAAAAAAAAGCGCTTTGGATTGAGCAACTCACCAGCTCCTAGACTCTTTGCTTGGATTTATACCTCAAGCAATAGCATATCTCAGACTTTTGGTCACAGGACCCCTCAACCACTTTTTAAAGATCACTGAGATATCCCTCCCAAAGAGCTTTTGTCTGTGTTTGTTAACATCTGTTATATTTGTTTGGAAAATTAAAAGGAGACTGTTTATTTTCCTTGTTATCTGAATGCATGTATTTTCGAGGAGATGTTATAATTTTTTTTTCAAATAAACCTGACTTCAAAGGCATAACGTTTCCAGGACACAGGTTAAAATCATTACGTAGGTTCGCATTGGTATGCAGCCGTCAGCACCAACATTGCCAGCGTGTATTTCCTCTTTCAAAACTAAGTGCCTATACCCATAAACACCAGCACCCTTGTCCCCCCTCCCCACCCCCCACCCAGGAGATCCTAGTAGCCACCACTCTCCTTTCTGTCTCTCAGACTAGACTGATCTGGATCTCTTTCTTTCCCTTCCCCTCCTTTCCATTCTCTCCCCTTCCTTCCCCCTCCTCTTCCTTTTCCCTTCTCCATAGTATTTCCTCTGTCTTCCCTTCCCCCTTTGCATCTCCTCTGTCTTCTCTTGACCTTCCCTTTCTTCCAGTCCCTTCTCTTCCCCTTCTACTTCATGTTTCCATTGTCCTGTATTCCCTTCTCTTCTCGTTTCTTTCATTTTGTCCTTTTCCTATTTTAAATCCCCTTCCCTTCCCTCTCGTAGCTGCTGTTGTTGTGATGTCCTGGGGTCACACATGCTGTGCTCACATCCTTGTGGGGAGCCAGCAAGAGTCACGCATTCCAGGTGATGCGTGTGCACGTGCTCTCCAGATGCCTGACTCTTCGTGCTGTGGTGCTCCTATAGGGGCCTGCTGGAAGGCCTGCCCTGGGGTTGTGTTCACACACCCCTGGCTTATGTAATGGAGGCTGCATATTTGGATGCGCCATCAGGAGGCCTGGAGAGTAGAGCTCCTAGTATTGCACACAGTGCACGTGGGCAACACGAGGGATTGAACTCCTGGCCCCCTGGAACCTGGGCTATAACTCAGCGGTAGAATGCTTGCCTTACACGTGCAATGCTCTGGGTTTGGTTCCAGCATCACGGACAGAAATAAGTAAACACAAGAGTCTGAAGTCACGGATTCACATCTGCAAGGCAGGCACTTTTAACCATGCCACCATTCCCAGACCCTGTCTCTTAGATAACTGAAACGCTTCAGTATTTGGCCTTTTGTGCTTCTTTGTTCACTTAGCATAATATCTTTAAAGTGTTTCCTTATTATAACATGTTTCCATAGGCCCTAATGGCTGAATAATATCCTAGAATGTGTGTGTGTTTTGTTTTATTTTAACAATACACAGGGATTACTTCCTATTCTACGCTTGGAGGTTGCTCCTTGCAGTTCTTAGTGACCACGTGGTCATGGGCATCGAACCTGAACAAAACATATACTCTGCCCATTGAGCTATCTCTCTGGCCCTTATTGTATATACCACACTTTGTTCATTCATCTTTTAAACACTTTGGGTAGCTTCCACCTTTTGACTATCATAAACTATGCATCTATGGACTGCAATATGCAAATTTCCCTTCAAGACTATTTTTACTTCTTTGAAGCATATACCCAGAACTGAAATTTCTAAATCATATGTATTATTGTATTTTTAATGTTTTGGACATCTACTATACTGTTTCCCATAAATGCTGTCATTTCACATCTTCACCAAAAGTATATGAAGCCTCCAAGTTCTCTATATCCTTGCTGATACTTACTTTATACTTTTTTTATAACAGTTCTAATGGGTATCAAGTAGTAATGATTAAGATTTTCATTTCCATGAAATCATGTTTAGACATCTTTTTGTGTGCTGATTGTTTATCTGTGTACCTCCTTGGCAGAGATATATTCCAGCTCTTTTAATCAAGTTAGTTTGTCATCATCATTGTTGTTGTTATTGAATTCAAGGATAAGTTGAGAAAAATTTAAAACCCAAGATTGTACAACTATATGTTCCATTAGTGTCAGAGCAGTAGCATTATCATATCCTGCATTATCTAGAAAACTCCACTGTATTTTCAAAATAGTCCTTGATTAAAAATAGCCTCTAACATTGCCAAAATGAAGTTCTGAAAGTTTGAGGGGGGGGAGAAAAGCACTGCAGGGCTAAGGGATATTATAGGAAGGAAGTAAGCCCAGGTGTTACAGCATAAGGCTGCAGATTATGACCCTGGTTCAAATCCCCAATACCACATATGGTCCTCTGAGCACAGCCAGGTAAATAAATAAATAAATAAATAAATGAAACACTGTGATGCAACCAAATTCTTGTTATAAGGTACAATTTCTTAGAGTGGAGCAGATTTGTAACATCAACTAAAATATTTCATATTCTTTAGAATGGATTTAATCAATGATACACTTTTGCTCCCCACTTTGGTTTTCATTCTCTGCAATTTGAAAAAAAAAACTATGGGAAGTTTATTACTTCAGTAAAATGGGCGTTGTCATCCATTTTATTACTTCTGGTTTGGAAACCACCTTTTCCCTTGGTGCATGCAAATTTGTATAACCTACACATGGAGTATCGTTTACAGTTTTAGAGTGTGCTTTTGTAAATCTTTAAGCAAAAATGATTCCAAGTCTAACTTTTTTATCCTGAGAATTCCATAAACATTTGATGATTAATTTAGTTGCTTACAACGCAGAGTAAAATGTTGTATTATACAGGATAGATGAAAACTAATGTGTAAATATTTTAGGATAACCTGTTTCACCTTAGCCTAGATAATCTATTTGAAAAGAATAGCCATGGGACTTTGGCATTTACATCATAGGAACTAAAATGAGAGTGAGTGAGAAAGAGAGATCACTGAAATTTATTTCCTGCTGCAGCAGAAAGGTTTCATGACTCTCTTGAAAAATGATGTATGAAAACTTTTATTTGTTTTATTTCTCTTTGAGTGAGAAAGTTGTAGTCAAATCGTAGCTAATTTATCTTATTTACTCATAACTGAAGCCCATAAATTGATCTACATGTTGGTTTGATTTAAAAAAAAATGGCCTTTAATGATATGCTCCCAGGTTTTTTTATTACTGGCGTTAGCATGATAAAAATGAATATGACTCTAGATACTCAGAAATAAGTATTAAAAATATGTAATTGAATTTTTAAATATTTTTGTCTGGGCTGGAGCGATAGCATAGCAGGTAGGGCATTTGCCTTGCATGCAGCCGACCTGGGTTCGATCCTTCTCCCCTCTCAGAGAGCCCAGCAAGCTACTGAGAGTATTCTACCCGCATAGCAAAGCCTGGCAAGCAACCGTTGACATATTCGATATGCCAAACACAGTAACAACAAGTCTCACAATGGAGACATTACTGGGCCCGCTCGAGCAAATCGATGAACAACGGGAGGACAGTGCTACTTTATTTATATTTCTATTTTTGCTAGCATTCTAAAATAAATCTTTAGTTGTAGCATTTATTTATGGCACTATGTATTAAAGAATTTTTCCCCTGTTTCTTGTCTTACTGCTGTTTTGAGCTAAAGTGTTTTGTTTGCAAATCTATTCCTGTTTGACTTTTATAAAAGACAGTTACCTATTACCTTTTGAAACTGTTAAGAGTAAATAATTGATTCTGATTTTATTGATTCTTGTAAGGGTGTCCATATATCTTAAATGGCTTATTTTGGTTATTTTTTTTTTAGATTGAAGATAAAACTTTCCAGGTCTTTGGTGATCTGTATGATGAGGAGGATTGTACTTACCTGAGATGCTCTGTTAATGGAGCTGCTAGTAAAACAAAGCTGATCATCCTGGAAAACACTATCTACCTATTTTCCATGGTAATATTTCTTTATACTAAGTAATACTGTTGTGGGTTTGGAGAAAAATCTCTTGAACAAGCCATTCCTCTGATCGCAGTTAGATCCCACTTCCTTTGATCATTGCTCTGGTTTTTCTCATTTTCCTCTCTCCTTTGTCTTTGTAGAGAGGATCACCCTCTTTAGTGGGCAGTGCTCTTCCTGGAGACTTGATGCCTGAATATTTTTCCCTATCATCTTTCTTGTGTGATGTGGAATCTGGAATTGGGAGGGAGGTGACCCTTGGGAGAGGCATCTATGGATGTGGTATTTTTTTTTCTTTCTGGGTCACACCCAGTGATACTCAGGGGTTATTACTGGCTCTGAGCTCAGGAATTACTCCTGGCAGTGCTCAGGGGACCATATGGGATGCTGGGGATCGAACCCTGGTAGGCCCTCCGCAAGGCAAACGCCCTACCCGCTGTACTATCACTCTGTCCCCAGGATGTGGTATTTTTTGTGGGGAAGGTGGGCAGTAGGAAAGAGTTGAATATAGTGGTAGCCTCCCAGAAGTCAAAGAATAGTTGAACAATCTTTGTATGGAGTTGGCTGTTTCTAACCCCTTGCTTTCAGTCAGAATCTCACAGCCCTGTGAGCCCTGCTCCATAGGCAGAAGAAAGAGAACCAAATATGAAATAGACTTTGGTCTCTTCAGAATCATAACCTTTGGGTACCATCTACTAGGTCATTTTTTTGTGATGAGATGCTTTTTGTATTCCAGTCACTCAACTATAGAATGTGGAGTCAAGGATCATCTCATTTTACTCCTTTCCATAGCTACTTATGTACAATGGAAAGTTCTAGAATGAGAAACTACCTTGGTTGAAATCTTTGCCCTACCTCCTGGACTTTCGTTACCCTAACCATAAATAGGAATGATTTCCTCATAGGGTAGTGCTGGTGATTAAAGATGTGTGTGTGTGTGTATGTGTGTGTGTGTGTGTGTGTGTGTGTGTGTCTTTACCTACAGTTGAGTATAGTCATTTCTTTATTCAAATCCTGTGAAGCATGTACCCATTACTCCTTTACAATGGAAAGCCAAGTCTGAGAGGGGTTGAGTAACTCTCTAGGCTCACAAAGCTAGATTAGAAACCTCGTATTAAAGATGATTAATATTTCACAAGTACTTTGAAAACAGTTATTATCTCTGTATATTTATTTAAAAACATATATATATATAGTGGTACCATTTTTGCTTTTGTTTTGTTTTTTATTTGTAGGAAGGGAGTATTCAGATTGACATTCCAGTTCCCAAATACTTATCTTCAGTGAGCTCAGAGGGAACCCAGGGTGGAACCATTGCCCCAATGACTGGAACCATTGAAAAGGTAATCACGAGGGTGTGTGTAGGATGACATCTAAGAAGGCCCAGTGAGTGCCCGCGCTGAACTTTGTCCTTTATATCCTTTCTCTCTCTAAATCTTATTTCCTGGAAAGCATCTATTTTCAGAAAACAAGGATAGATACGTAGATTGATAGATGTACATATATATTAAATTCAAGTTCTATATTATTTTTGAGTGAAAAATACCCATTTGCCTAATTTATGATAAACTTATTTTTTAATTTTTATAAAACAGTCTTCTGAATAGACATTTTAAGGTTAAAATGGAGCATTCACCAAACCTTATTTTAAAAGATGAGTTCTTTTAAAGTTAAATTTTACAGTAAATTTTTTTTTCACAAAATAATGGTATTGCATCTAATACCCATAAATGCATCCATGTCAAAATGAAATTTGAAAGGCTGATATTAGTGAAGGGTCTGCATGTGGTTTGAATTGAATGCAGTCTATATCAGAGTTGAGATCCCAGAGCAGGACCAGACTGACCTGTAGCTCCTCTCTGATTTTCAGGGCACCATTGCCTGTGGCAGACGAGACAACCACAGAGACTTACATGTTGCTTTTGGGCTTCCTAACTAGTCTTTGGGGCTACAAAGGGGCCAGCCCCCCAGTACTTAGCCAAATGGGAAGGACAGCTAAATGCGAAGGCCCCAGGATGAGGCATTGCTCAGGACTGCGGGAGCCACCTCAGGGGTGCTCAGGGGACCCTAAGGTGCTAGGGCTCCAGCCAGGACCCATGTGTGCCTGTGCCCCGCCCCCTGTGCTATCTCCCGGCCCCTGCTCTGTAGATTTCAGCACCAGGAAGGACCCTGCAGTTCTCACTATTAACCAGTTGCGCTGACCCTCTAGGTGTTTGTGAAAGCTGGAGACAGAGTCAAAGCTGGAGATTCTCTCATGGTTATGATCGCCATGAAAATGGAGGTAAGTGAAGCCAGGGGCTCGGTTGCCAGGACCCTTCGGAAGCCATCAGCTGTAATTGTTCTCCTGCCTTATGTTGGGAGTCAGTGACATTCTAGATACTGAGAGCCATTGACTGGAGCAGCAGTGGCAGAAAACAAAACCATGCCAGGCTTCTCTTCAAGACCTTTTTATTTTGTGCTGCCATCTTTTTCATTTCTGATTCTGCAGTTGATGAAATAATCTATAGATTCCAACAGGGTCCCAGCTGAACACTGTTGATATTTTTGTCTACCAAATTTAGGTGCTTGAAATCAGTAACAGACTGATGACCTTCAACAAATTAAATTAGTGCTTAGGTTTTCAGTGGCTGGAAATTGTAGACTAGTAGTTCTCAGCCCTAACCACACATTACAGTCATCTGGGTTCTTAGATTTTAGTGGGGGAGCCAGAGATACAGTACAACTTGAAAGACACTTGCCCTAGTCAACCTGAGTGTAATCTTCAGTACCCCATATGGTGCCTGGAGCCCCCTCAGGAGTGATATCTGACTGCAGAGCCAAGAGTTAACCCTCAGCACAGAGGTGTGTGGCCTCAAAACAAAACAAAGCAACAACAAAAAATTGCTTTCTGACCAGGAACAAAACTCACCAGTCGAGCTCATGCTTTGCATATTTGAGACCCTGGATTTGATCCTTAGCACGCTACCACACATGTATACCATTGCATGCACATATCACACACACTGCATATCCACCATCGGCCTCCAGAATTTTTGTTTTACTTCCAAGATGAAATTCTACAGTGAAAGTTGAGTTGAGTACCACCAGAAGTGATTTCTGAGCACAGAACCAGGAAATCACTGCCAGGTGTACCCTTCTCCCCCCATAAAAAGTTGAGAATTAACAGCCAGACCAAAAGTTCCCCATTACTAGCCTCTAATCCTGTATGTCAGCATAGGAGTGATCCCTCCCATTCAAACTAAGCACACCATAAAAGACATGTCATTTTCTCAGCATGATGTTATGTGGAAAAGAATTAAAAGACAGAGATGACCTTTAAAAAAAAGTGGGCTCCCACGAACGGTCTCTCTGGCTCCTCATCAAGCTGCTCAACGGCCTTGATCCCAGAGACTCAGGAACAAATCTCGAAACCCAGCATCTTTTGGCAGAAATGTGTCCGGACCCCGCAGTAGGTTACTGTTGCCGGGCCACCCCAAGGGGGAATGGGTGCTTTCCCTCCGCCTGCTCCCTCTTGGCGACTTGGTGGCTGTCATCCTCCAGGGGCCATTGGACAGTCAGGCTTGGGCCCGCAGTGACGAAACTTGTTGGGCCTCACAGGATGGGGGAGGGGGGAGCCGGGCCTGTCCTCCCCACCCCAACGAGACCCCAAGTCATCGCCCACGAACGGCCTCTCTGGCTCCTCATCAAGCTGCTCAACGGCCATGATCCCAGAGACTCAGGAGCAGATCTCTAAACCCAGTGGCTTTTGGCAGAAATCCCTCCAGATTTAAGTGTTAAAATTTCGGAATTTCAAAACCACATGGCCCTACTGCAGCCACACGACATCATATGTTATTCATAACCAGCAATAGAACACAAATTGTCTATTGTTGCCTTTTCAGCAGATCTGAGTGTTGGGGTAAAATCTCAAATAATGGTGGGTCTGGTGTCGAAATAGTGAATGTGATCAAAGTAGAGAGAGAGTAATGTGGAAATCATCTGCCCCACAGGCAGGGGGAGGGTATGGGATGGGGGTATACTGGGATTTTTGGTGGTGGAGAATGGGCACTGGTGTTTCATTGTATGACTGAGACTTAGACCCAAAAGCTTTGTAACTGCTCTCATGGTGATTCAGTAAATAAAATTATAAAAAATGGAAAAAAAAAAGTAAGGTGGAGTTCATGCACAATTCAATCAGCTAATCAGTGGCTGAATAAATAGCAGTACCCCTACCAAAAAAAAAAAAGTGGCTTCATGTTTTTCACTTTTTGTGTGACTCTTTTGGGGAGGTAAGTAAGCGATAGCACAGCGGTAGGGCCTTACAAGCGGCCAACATGGCCGACCTGAGTTCGATTCCTCCGCCCCTCTCGGAGAGCCCGGCAAGCTACTGAGAGTATTCGATATGCCAGACACAGTAACAACAAAAGTCTCCAATGGAGACGTTACTGGGCCCGCTCAAGCAAATCGATGATCAACGGGAGGGCCTTTACTTTACTTTACTTTTTGGGGAGGTGGCATACCCTGCCATTACTCAGGGGCTACTCCTGGCTCTGTGCTCAGGGATCACTCCGAGGAGTGCCCGGGGACCATATTGCAGTGGCAGGACTCCAGCTGCATTGGCTGCATGCAAGGCAGGTGCCTTTGCCTCTGCTTTTTGTCTTTGGCCCCTTGTTCGGCTTTCTTGACTTGGTTTGTTCTCAGTCTTCATTGTCTCACGGGCTCTGTCTTATGTCTCTGCAGCACACGATAAAGGCTCCAAAGGATGGCACAATCAAGAAGGTGCTCTACAAAGAGGGCTCACAGGCCAACAGGCACGCACCGTTGGTCGAGTTTGAAGAGGAGGAATCTGACAAGAAGGAAGCCAAGTAAAGGCTGGTGCATCCTGTCTTCGGTGTGGCATCCCCATACCTGCCAAAGTGCCTTCCGGCTCTCCTCGGGGGCTGAAAAGCAGCTGCTTTACGAAATGATCCTGATTGTGCCCAAATCACTTCCCCTTTGAGAATCACGCACTTTGATCACAAATACAGTAAATTGTCTCAAAGTATTTCATGCTAATAAAATGAATCATACTTTTTTAAGGAAAGCTACTCTGGTTGATTTCTGCTTCCAATTTTGAATGATATAGTATCTTTTAAGAAGCTGGGCAGGATTGCCATTCAATGCCTCTTTTTCAAACCACAGCACCCAAAAGGAGAGCGAGAACAAAAGGGAATGCCCTGCCACAGAGGCAGAGTGGGATGGGGGTGTGTGTGGGTTGAAAGGGGTACTGGGATCGGTGGTGGTGGAGAATGGGCACTGGTGGAGGGATGGGTACTCAATCATTGTATAACTGAAACCCAAGCATTGTATAACTGAAACCCAAACATTTGTAAGTCTACAACAGTACCTCACGGTGTTTCACTAATAAAAATTAAAAAAAATAAAATTGCATTAAAAAATAAAGAAGCTATTGTAAAGAGTGCTGCAATGAACAAACAATTGCAGATGTCACTTCGACTATACCTTTTTGCCTCTCTGGGATATATTCCCAGGAGTGCTATAGCTGGGTCAAATGGCAGATCAAATTCTAATTTTTTGAGAGTCGTCCATACTGTTTTCCAAAAGGGTTGGACCAGCCGGCATTCCCACCAGCAGTGAAGGAGGGTCCCTTTCTCGCCATATCCGCGCCAGCACCGGTTGCTTTTGTTCTTGTGGATGTGGGCCAGTCTCTGTGGTGTGAAATGATATCTCATTGTGGTTTTGATCTGCATCTCTCTGATGATTAGTGATGTAGAGCATTTTCTCATGTGCCTTTTTGCCATTCGAATTTCTTCTTTGCGAAAGTTTCTGTTCATTTCCTCACCCCATTTTTTGATGGGGTTGGGTGATTTCTTCTTATGGAGTTTAACCAGTACCTTGTATATCCTTGATATCAACCCCTTGTCGGATGTGTACTTGGTGGGGGCTGGGGGGGATGCTGGGACCCGTGGTGATGGATGACGGGCACTGGTGGAGGGATGGGCACTTGATCATTGTATAACTGAAACCCAAGCACAAAATTTGTAAGCCTATAACTGTACCTCATGGTGTTTCACTAATAAAAAAAAAAAAAAGGAGCAAATTTGAAAGAAAAAAATAAAAAAATAAAGAAGCTGGGCAGGAACTTGATGAAAGGAGAATGTCTGGGAGAGGAAAAGTTGATGAACTCTGAATTCTTTCCAAGTTACAACAGTGATGTAGGTGGACAGTGAAGTATGTTGGAGACAGATAGGAAAGAGGTAAAACTGAACAAGGTTATTATTTTTGTTTTCACACACAGTTTTTTTTTCTTTCTGGGTCACACCCAGTGATGCACAGGGGTTACTTCTGGCTCTGCACTCAGAAATTACTCCTGGCAGTGATGGGGAACCATATGGGATGCTGGGAATCGAACCTGGGTTGACTGCGTGCAAAGCAAATGCCCTACCCACTGTGCTATAGCTCCAACCCCTGTTTTCACAGTTTTGGGGAGAGTTATGGCCCATACCTGGTTGTCTTCAGGGGTTGCTTCTGTCTCTGCACTTAGGAATCATTCCTGGTGGACTCGGGAAACCTTATAGAATGCCAGGGATCAAATCTGGGTCAGCCACATGCAAGGCAAATATACTTCGGCCTCCAGTTTTTTTTCCTCAGAAAGGGTCAGAGGGAGGGGCCTCCCATCCAGTGCTTAAGGAGCTCTGGGATTCAACTGTATGGTCCTCCAACAGTGCTGGGCATCACACGGTTACACTTGCTGGTACTTGGTGATATGGATCGAACTTGCAGCCTCATGTATACTGGGCACTCTAACCTTTGAACTCTCCCTCTGGCCTTTTCAATAAGAATCTTTTTTTTAAAAACAGTTATGCAGTAAAAGATATAGATGCTAGTTGGTTCTCATTTGTATGATTGCAAAATTTCTATCCAAGACTGCCTATTCTGCCTTTATTGTGCTCTCTAAGCTCATACAAATATTAGTACTCAGACTTACATTCATATGTTTTATATGTATATGCAATGTTTATGTATAATGATAAATCACGATATATCATATATCATATGGGGGGGGCGGAGAAGGGTTGACCATTGACCAGACCTGGTGGTACTCAGGATTTACTCCTAGTCTGTTCCCACTTCTGACACAGGGATCACTTCTGGCAGTGCTCAAGGGATCGTATGTGATGCCGGGGATTGAACCCAGATCAGCTTGATGCAAAGTAGGCATCAAGCTTACCTTTTATACTATCTCTCTGACAACTAGAATATATTATTAATATTTAATTGTAGAAATTTGAAGAAAGTCTAACAAAATATTAAAAATAGATATAAAAAGCATGATTGATACGGTTTTTTTAAGAAAAATGTTTACCGAGAGTATTCGATATGCCAGACACAGTAACAACAAAGTCTCCAATGGAGACGTTACTGGGCCCGCTCGAGCAAATCGACGATCAACGGGAGGGCCTTTACCTTTACCATCAGGAAAGTTCTTTGAGTTTATTTTTTGTCAAGATTTGTTGGTGACTATTTCTAACATGCCACCCTTTGAATTTTTCACTCACCCATGGCCATGTTAACTATTTGCTGCCCATATGAGGCCATGTCCGATGTTGTGGAGCACAGCGGTAGGGCGTTTACCTTGCACGCAGCCAACATGGCCGACCCGAGTTCGATTCCTCCGCCCCTCTCGGAGAGCCCGGCCAGCTACCGAGAGTATCTCGCCCGCACGGCAGAGCCTGGCAAGCTCCCCATGACGTATTCGATTTGCCAAACACAGTAACAACAAAGTCTCCAATGGAGACGTTACTGGGCCCGCTCGAGCTCGAGCATGAAAGACCATCTCTGTACCTTGAGCTGCCTATGATTTAACTGGGAAAAGAAGACACAATCATGGCAGTAGCTGGGCAGGAAAATACCTGATCTAAATGTAATCTCTCTCCTGGCAGCTAAGAAAGCAATTCATTGTCAAGAGAGTGGTTAGAAAAGGTACCAACCCCTAAAATTGGAAATGCTGAGTTCTCACAGAAACCTGATTACACAGCTTAGTCCCAATGTCCGTTTTTCCAGCAAGGCCACATGAAACACAATATCCTGAGATGTGGGCCAGAGTGAAGTCTGTTGTCATATGACTGGAGCAGAAAATAGGTGTTTTGGGAGCGAGGGCACAGAGTGCTGGGGGCAGGGTGATGGGCCAGTTTCCTAAGGGAGGGAGAACCTGGCAGTTGGTGGGCACGGGCTTGGAGATTAGAAACGGAGGAACTGGACTTCACTGCTGAAATGAGCCAAGTATGTTCAGTATCCAGAGTACACAGCCTAACAGAAATGAGAGGTGCTGGGGCAGGGGGCGGGGGGGGGGGGGCGTGTGCAGTGACAATAGGAAATTTAGGGGGGAATGTCAGATCATAAGTGGCACCAAAGGACAGCTTTGAATCTTTTTCTTAAATTTTTATTAGTGACACACCATGAGGTATAGTTGTAGACTTACAAATTTTTGTGCTTGGGTTTCAGTTATACAATGATCAAATGCCCATCCCTCCACCAGTGCCCATTCTCCACCACCACCAGTCCCAGTATCCCTCCCACCCCCCAGCCCCCATCCCACCCTGCCTCTGTGGCAGGACATTCCCTTTTGTTCTCTCTCTCCTTTTGAGTGCTGTGGTTTGCAAAAGAGACATTGAGTGGCAATCTTGTTCAGTCTATAGTCTACTCTCACCACGCATTTCCCATCCTGAGAGGAACCCCAACACCCTTTATTTGGTGCTCCCTTCTCTATCTGAGCTGCCTTTTCCCCTAGCGTGTACAGCTTTGAATCTTATGTTGCAAACAGTGGTTAAGTTGAATCATTTTCTTAAGTAGTGAAAGTAGTACTTTGAGGCATATTTATCGGGTTCTGAGAGCCCTTTTAAGAAACGTTGACATTATTTCACAAAGTTGAACGTTTGTGTATCCTCTGACCTACCATGCCACTTCTAGAAAGGCACAAATGTACTTGCACCAAGAATACTCTCGGCCACATTCCCTAGTTGAGCAAAGCATTTGGGAACTCCCCAGCTGGCTGGCAGGAGAAGGGGTAAGTAATTGGTCTGACACACAGGGGAATGCTACATGGAACAAAATAAACAGTGTCCACATGGAAGTACTGTCACAAATGGATCCTGGAATTCTGAGTAGAATAAAGTGCCAGGATATGCATGCAGTTGGGTACTATGCTTTTTTTTTGGGGGGGGGGATTGGGGGTAGGGGCACCATGCAGTGCTCAGGGGCCACGCAATGGCTCTGTGCTCAGGGTCACTTCTGGTGGTGCTCAGGAAACCATATGCGGTGCTGGGATCTGAAGTATCATGGCAGCTACAGAAGTATGCAAGACAAGTGCATGGTTTGGACTTTGGACTATAACTAGGTTTACAAAGGACACAAAAATCACAGTATGTGTACTTGTGTAATGAAACTGTATTCCTAGTGGCTAGAGAGATAGTACAGTGGGTAGGACACTTGCCTTGCATGCAGCTGACCTGGGTTCAATTCCTGACATCCTATATGGTCCCCTGAGCACCACCAGCAGTGATTCCTGAACAGAGAGCCAGGACTTACTCCTGAGTATTGCCAGGTATGGCCCATTAAAAAAAAAAAGTCTATATTAGGCTATGTTCCTGAAAAGTAGAGGGTATCAAGATTTGGTAGTACAGCGGGTAGGGTGCTTATTTTGCATGTGGTAAACCCTGGTTGGATCCCTGGCACTCTATATGTTCCTTTGAGTCCACCAGGAGTGATCCCTGAGCATAGAGCCAGGAGTAATCCCTGAGCACCACTGAGTATGGCCACAAAAAAAAAAAAAAATCAAAACCAAAAGGCCATATGGATTGTACAGGGGTTAAGGTGTTTGCATTCAACCAACTCTGGTTTGATCCCTTGCATATTGTCCTCTTAGCACAGGCAGGAGTGACCCCTTAGCACCTATAGCTCAAAGCTCCTCAAAAAATAAACAAAAAAAACTTCAAAGTTAGGGGCCAGGACATAACTCAGTGATTGAGTGCCTGCTTCATAAATATGAGACCCAAAATTCAACCCCCAACATCCACCCCCCCCCAAAATTTTGAGGAGTTGTTTGGTTT